CAAACTTTTTCAAAAAAGAACTAAAATAATTATTTAATTAAATGTTTCTTATTTAACACAATTCCTAGAAGGCCCCACTCCATCTTCATTCCCTAAGCTCTAAAATAGTATTACTTAAACCCTAAACTCTAAATCAACGTATCAAAAATCACAATAACAAGAGAGGAGAAAGAAGTATGTAAATTCTAATACTACAATCTATATGTTAGTATCGGACCGTAAACAGTGAAATTAATGAATTATAATCTCGTACTTGTTCCACGAATTTATTAACACTGCTATGAAGTATATGGTGACACACATCTTTTTCAAATAGATTTTTCCTCACAACTTCAGTAGCCACCACACTAGGAGGAGCACTCACTGTCAAGGATTTAAATTGCGATTACAGTCACGTTTTCAGTTATACGTTATGTTTATCGCGATTGTGGACATAACAAACGTTATTATGATGATTGTGGGTATCACGGTCATACAATAACAATAGCATACGACACCGCTACTTTTATATTGTAGACACTGATAACATACCGCTATTTAAATTTCTTCCCTCGTTTTCATCCATCTCATTTTCATTGACACTAATGCAAGTCCCATATTTAACTTTGAAGATGAGCAACTATCATTTATACTGTCAGCCTCTATTGTTTTTTGCACGACAGTTTTACGTACATCATCGAAACAATTTATTAGTAAATTCATACATCTTTTGATTTAGATGAAGAATTATAATTATTATAATTATTTTTTAAAATAAAAATAATCGAATTAAAAATAATTATGATTTAATTTTGAAAATTTATGATTTTCGACAAATTTGAAATTTTAATTGAATTGGAGTTGTCATCGACCTTTAAGTTATGTAAGTCGAATACCTAAAAACGTCTTTTAAAAATAATTTTAAAAAAAAATCATTTTAAAGACAAAAATTGATATGCGTTACCAAAAATTCATTTTTAACAATTTGGGAGTCGACTACGAGTGGGGAAGGGTAAGCACCCTCATAGCGCCTAAAATTGGTATCCAATCGCTTATACGCTGTCGTAACTGTGGAATTTGTAAATTCGAATGAAAATTAAAATATGATTCTTTTTTTTAAAATGATCAAGTTCACTTTTCGTTTGAATGTCGTCGATTTGTATTTCTCCTATAGAATTGTGTTTTTCACGCCCATTCTATGACAAACGTACTTAAAAATATACGAGTAAGATAAAAAAATATTACTTTATATTTCAATAAATAACATACGTACAGATATCTAAAAATAATATTTAACATATATAAAAATATGTACTAATATTTTATACAAATATCTTCCAACTAAAATGAATAAATAAATAAATAATAAATATATAAACAAAACATATATCGCCTATAATATACATATACATATTAGGCAATACCTCAAATAATTATCTGTGCATATAATATATTATAAAATAATATAAATAATGATGTGAGTATATATCCATATAACATACGCTTAAATAATATTATAGGCGATATATGTTTTGTTTATATATTTATTCGTTTATTCATTTCGGTTGGAAGATATTTGTATAAAATATTAGTACATATTTTTATATATTTGTTATTTATTGAAATATAAAGCAATATTATTTTTTTATCTTACTCGTATATTTTCAAGATCGTTTGTCATATAATGGGCATGAAAAGTACCACTCACTCTATAGGAGAAGTGTAATTCGACGATATTCAAACGAAAAGTGAACTTGGTCATTTAAAAAAAGAACCATATTTTAATTTTGATTCGAATTTATAAATTCTACGATTACGACAAAGTATAAGCAATTAGGTACCAATTTTGGGCGCATCGAGGGTACTTATCATTCCCTACGTGTAGTCGACTCTCGAACTCTTAAAAACCAATTTTTGTTAATGCAAACCAATTTTTGTTAAAAGAATTGTTAATATTCTTAGATGTCACGGTTCGAGCACCAGCGACTGCAATAGGATAATCAGGCGTTTATTATCAAATAGTCAATATTATTTAGAACAAATACTACTTTATAATCATCTTAGCTTAGTAAAAAAAAACTTTGTCAAATGTTATGTTAAAAATTGAAGAATATATCTTCCAAAGATAGTATAGTGTTTTCAAAAATATTTTATTTTATTTTTGATAAACCAAGATGATTATAAAATAATACGCGTTCTAAATACTCTCAACTATTTGACGATGAACGATCAACCACCCCTGTTGCAGTTGTTGATACTATAACTTGAGATCTTTAAGAATAACGATAATTTCTTTAATTACTCAGATAATTTGATTTATATTTCTAAAAAATATTTAATTTATTTTTATTAAAAAGTGGATTGAATCGAAACTAATAGTCGAAAACACCCTTGATAATTATGGTGATTGACTTTTGTTTTTCACTTTATGCATGCATTTGTAGCACTTTAAAGAGAGAGGTTTCTCTTCCTTTGTAAATTGTAATTGTAACCCCACTTCTCCTTCTTCCCCTTTTATTCATTCAGTCGTTGGTTCCTCGCTTGCTTTTGTCGTTTTATGTTTGTTCTCTTGTGTTTTGACTTACTTGTCAACTATAATATTGTAAGAATATCTACGATTATTTGCCATTAAATTTATTAATTTAACAGTTAAGTGATTAAAATACAACCAACTATGATGTAAATAGTCGAAATATACTTAATTTATGTTTTGGTCACTCAACTATTATATTTTTAAAATCATAGTTACTCTTACATTTTGGTTCTATTTTGATCACTCACAATTAAAAAATTTAAAACATGACATTTTTTAAAAATTATTTTTTAATCATAATATGATATTATCTTATGATGATATGTTAATATCATTGCTAAATTTTTAAACATGAGTGACCAAAATAGAATCAACACTTAAATTGAGTGTGATTTAAAATAATAGTTATATGCCCAAAATAAAAAGTAAATACTTTATGAATGACTCAATAAGTAATTTCGCTTTTTTTGGGCAAAGGGAATGGCCGAGGAAGGCCTAGGCTTGGATCCACCTTTGAATAGCTCCACTATCCACTCCGATTTTTAGGTGTACAATTATCATAGATATCATGCTAATCTCGAGGAACGAACACCTATAGAAACGATTACACATATTGAGACAAAATTATTTCTAAACAGTGGTTCATATCACGATATGGTTATTTATTTTACATTTAATTTTTAATATTATACAATTAATGCTAACGGTTTGATTTTATAGTAATTTTTACCAACATTTATAGCCATAACCATAAACTAAAGACATGTTTAGATTTTTTTCAATAAGAATTTACACAACAAACTAGTCCTTAAAGATCACACAATAACCATACAATAAAATGTTAAAAGCTTAATAAAAAAAATCGACATAAGACAAATACGAATAAATCTGACTGCATCAACAAACGAACTATAAAATGAGATCAAACTATTAAAAGATTATCGACAAATCACAAATTAAAATCAAGCGATTACATAAAACTATCAACGAAAGTAAATACCGTATACAAATCCAATCTAATGATCTAAAATTAGAAAACTTAACATAATAACAAATAAGTATCAACCTAATCAGTCGTGACGATGTCAAATTTAACTACAAAAAAGATATATAAAAATAATCAAACAACAAAAGACATATAAAATCCAGAAAAAAACATGTAATAAAAACAGAAAAAATAATTTTTTAATGATTAAAAAGATAACTACAAATTTACATACAAATTCTTTCCAATTCCACGTATATCTGTCACATCTTTTCAAATGTGGGCTATGCATAATTTGTTATCTGATATCTTACGCAAACGTCGTCGTTTGCATACAAGACTTGATTTAGACCTTCCCTTTTCTCCTCTACCAAACTGCAATTCCCAACCACCTTTCCTTTAGAACCGCAATCCACGGCCAAAAGACAGACAACTCAACCCTGACATGCAAAATCCAATCCATGGTATCCTAACCACGTGTCAACAGATTATTGGTTCGTCACCCGATATAAAATAAGAATAGAAAAGTAAATATGAATCGTCAAATTTCAAACTTTTATCATGTAATTCACAACCATCATTGTACAATATAGGTTAGGGATGGAAGATATATATAAACATAAGAAGATCATTGAAAGAATTTTCTCAAAAGATTTTAAATTTTCTCACTCTTATGAAAGAGTCGATCCATTCCTCTCGTAACCTTCGTTAATCGATTGATAAAACAATTTTCATCCACACCAAAAGAGATAAATTGTGACCGATCCATTGACTCGTTATCTATCTCAACCAACTTGATCGTCTTACCGACTTACACCACTAACTCACATGAGCAACAATTAAGAAAACATATTATTATTTAATCAATATTACATATGCTTATTAATTATAGGATAAACTACGCATTTAGTACCTAAATTATTAGTTATGGTCCGTTTTTAGTACATAAACTTTCAATTTTTCAAAATCATGCCTAACATTTAGTTATCATCTCATTTTAGTACTCCACTGTTAAAAACTTAACGCGTTTAGTACTTAAACTATCAGTTTTGGTCCGTTTTAGTACCTAAACTTTCAGTATTTTCAAAACTTAACGTTAAATTTTGAAGGAGTACTAAAATGAAACAAAAACTAAAGTTTTTGGGTACTAAAATGAAATCAAAACTGAACTTTAGGTATGCTTTTGAAAAAATTGAAAGTTTAGGTACTAAAACATATCAAAACTGATGGTTTAGGTACTATACACGTAATTTACCCTTAATTATATAATGAAATAATTCTCAGATTGGTCCACGTTCAAAAGTAAAAAAAGGAGGAAATCACTTTGCCACCTTTTCTCTCTCTCTCTCACCAAGTGGGACTAAGGACATAATCATAACAAAGAGTATTCTACAATGCTTAATTTTTCAACATGTTTATATTTTTTTCCATTTTTAAAGCTAAAATTTGCACGCCCTTTAAGAAGACAGACCTTTCTCTTTTGCAAATTACACTCACATTCACATCTGCACATTATTAGTCAATCTTTAGCTATTTGTATGTATGCATATGCAATGGAAGCGGCAGCTGTACCTCAAGACCCTTCAATGGAAGGGGTTCTGGATGCACCCGGGGATACGAGGCCCAAGTCCAGCTCCGAGGACTTCAAGTTTTGCACCCCGAACCACGGAATTCGGAGGGTGAGTTGGAGAGCCGAGATCGATACTTCACCGCCTTTCGAGTCGGTTAAGGAGGCCGTGACCCGGTTTGGTGGCAGCGGACCTTGGGTGCCACTGTACAAGTTTGCACAGGCATGTGTAAGTTTTTCTCTGTTTTTTGGTTTGCCTATGGTATGTAGTCTGTTTATATATAGTGAATGTATATTATGTTGTTCCTAAACTTGTGTATATATATATATATATGAATGTGTATGTATGTTATGTTGTGTTGACGAGCAGCATGGAAATGAAGAATTTGACATAAATAAAGTTGAAGAACAAGCAGCAGAATTGGAGAAAAATCTGATAGTGAAAGAATTGGAAACACTTGATGTGCTTGAAGAATTGGGAACCACCAAAAGGATGGTGGAAGATTTAAAGAGACAGCTCAAAGATGAAGCTTTGAAAAGCATGATCAATAATGAACATACCAGAACAGGGAGTTCGAGACCTCACCGCCGTCACCGTCCGGTTTTGTCTTCGGATTCGATCTTGATGGAGTCGAAACAAGCGAAGTTGAACATCGGTGAAACTATCGATGATCTTGGAGTGATACCAAGAGCAGAGCCATTGCTTGACAAAGTTGCTGAAGTGAGGTGGTTTGCAGCTAAGAAAATGGAGAAAGCAGCCATGGCAGCAGAGGCTCTTGCTCTTTTTGAACTCGGTGCACTTGCCGGAACAAAGGGTTTGTCTAGCAACGAGATGTCATCGGGATTTTCCTTCCCGGTGCCGGAGCCGGAGCCGGATCAGTCTCCTCGAACACCAAAAATGCTTCATACAGTAAATGAATTTGATGAAGCAAACAATATTTCTGAACATACAATCCTGAGGAAGCTTGAGGAAGCATCAGATGAAATCAAACACTGTAAAAAGGCATTGGAAGAGGCTCTTAAAAGCGTTGAAATCGCAAACCAGAAGCAACTCGATGCCGAGGAGGCACTCAGGAGATGGATCATTAACCCCATACAAGGACACAAGTCACATAACAACAAACAGGTGGTCTACAATGGTACCAAGACCAACAATTCATATCAAAATCTTCCAAGATCTCCATTAAGAGACCTGATGAACAAGGAAAACCCGGAATTTGACGACAACCCGAAGCCTGTTCTGAGGCCAACAACTGTGTCGATGAGGGATATGCTGAGCAATAAACAAGTTACTCCTCAAGAATGTGTGGTGAAAAGGGCTAATGATGAAGGCCAAAGTGGAAGAAAGAAAGTGGCTTTGAGCCAAATGCTTGATGAACTGAAGCAAGATGTGAGGTTTCAACCAAGAACTGATCATCAAAAACAGAAACAGATCTTCACACAAAGGAGAAAATTTGGGTTCATCCACATTTCTCTCCCATCAAAGCAAAGCAAAAAGAAACCATAAGTTTTGAATTCAATGTGATATACAATAGGTTTGTTGTAGTACTAAACTGCAGTTCTGATTGCGGCTGCGATGCCGCGGTTGTGGGTGTTGCAGATATTAAGATGTGATTTATTTTCTACAAATAATTATGAGTTTATGTTATGGATGCGATTTACGGTGTAACGGTGATTGAGAAACATTATGATGCGATCGTTACATTGCGTTACGACCGTAATTTAATACTATAATTGTTGTATATGTTTATGTTGTGTTTTGAGTTATTAAATCACGGTGCTGGCATTTTTTAATATTAATTTTTGTTAAATCTATTCTGAAATCACTTTTATACTAATTTTAAATATCCCTCTATATATATATATATTTATAATTTATTTCTAAGTTTTCTAAGTAAAATATAATATATTCATAATCATTTGCAAATAGAGTATAAATATATCTATTTGAAAAAATAGTAGAAATATATACATTACATATAAATAGTTAAGATTCTGTCATACCCCGAAATTTATAGATTATTTCTATTAATTGTAATTAGCATTACAGGGTCCATTTTGAGAGATTTTAGAAATCTGAGGCTCTGTTTTGAAAACTTCTTGGTCAATGACTTGAATCATGAATTTTCCCTTTTTCCTTTAACTCTGAAAAATAATAAAAGAAATTTTGTGATTCTAATGTTTTGAACCAGGGTCTCCAAAAATTTTAACCTATGCCCTTACCATTTAGGTTAGTTACTATAGCTAATGTGATTTTATTAATAATTTATTTTCAACTGATTTATGGAATCGTAAAACCCATTTTTCCTTCCAAATGGTGTACCTAGTTACGTTACCCTTTCCCGTTCATCGTGCTCTGGTCGATGGTGCTTTACACCGCTACCCTCAAGGTTTCTGGCGACTTCCTGCGACCAAAACCCCTCTGATATTTCACCGTGAAACCTCGTTAGCTGCTATCGATTCCGTCACTGATTTACCTCCTTGTCATCGTCGTTGAAGTCCCCTCCCTCCTTCGACCAAACCTCAGTCGACCTTGTTGTGTGAAACGTCGTCGTTCACCCTCTAGAGGAGTTCAAAATTTTCAAAAGAAAAGTAACTTTTTCGTCACTGTTTTCACAATTCTGGCCATGTTAGGCCGCCGTTCGCCTCACCACCTTCACATTCGGGATCCTCATGGAGTTTCGGTCAAAACCCAATCAACTCTGACGCCTCATCGTTGTTTTTACGTCGTTCGTCGTCGGGGTAAGTTTTGAATTTATTTCCGTTCAGTTTCATCAATGTTTTGACTGATTTTTATGTTGATATGGATTGTAGTTGGTGTGCGGTTGTTTTTCAGTTAATCAGCTGTCGTCCCTATCCCTTTTGCCTGTTGCACGCACCGTCACGCGCCTCCACAGCGTGTGGATTTCTTACCCGTCGAGTTTTCTAAAACCGAGTCAGCCGAATCAACTCAGACTGAGTCGGTCGAGCCAACTCAGACCGAACTGAGTTAATCTGTTACCTTAACTGAACGGTAGATCAGACCCGTTGACTTTGATTTTGACCCATTGTTAACTTTGATCGAAAAGTTAATTTTTTCAAAAAAAAATCATATTTTGTATTTTTTCGACGTTCTGAGTCTGAATCTAAAGTATGTTTAGCTAAATTCTAATCCGAAAGCCTCCAAATTAACCCTTGAACCATAACTTGCATAGTATTTTAATTAAATTGGTTATGAAAATATGTTAAAGAAGGACAATGACTGATTTATGAATTTGCTTATGTTAGGTACCCGTGATTCTCCTTACCTTATGACTGATCGACTCATCTCCTCTTGATCCATTCGACGTGTGAGCTGTGATTACTCGCATAGCTCTATAACTCTGTTAAATACTCTGTTTAGTGCATTATTTTGATAGCAACCTTGTTCTAATTTGATTTAGGATCATGCAATGCTTTTGATCGAAGCGGGACGGTGCTCAGTAGATTCTTAAACCAACCCGTTTCTCAAGGTGTGTTCTATGTGTACTATATTTATCTGTTTTAAATATATATGATCTATCATGTGCATATGGTTGTTTTAACTAATTTTGAAAGCATGATTTTGCTTACTGATTTTCTTGAGTTTTGTTTTTATTAATATGAAATTTCTGATTTGTTTGATACATGTTCTTTGGATTACTGTTATTGTAAATGTCTGATTTATGATCTCCTGATTTTATCGGTGTTATCTTAAATTGTTTTTGGGGTACTATATGGGTAGGTGTATGGAATCTCTAAGGTTTAGCTAGCTGGTAAATCCTTTTGTTATGGTATGGGGAACTGTTTTTGGTGTAAGGTTGGAAGGTAACATTGTGTTAAATAAAAACTATATTTTCATTTTTACTTTATGATTTCTGAAATCATATTTGAAATGTATAAACATGTTTTATTCTGCACTTATTGAAACAAACTAAGCTCCCTAGCTCACTCCCCCAAACTTTCCTTTTTTCAGATACTTTTAGATAGACAGACCAGATCTGACATTTGAAGGATTAATACATTTCGTACAATATCTTTTGTTGTAATGCTTCAATATTCCAAACTGCATTTATTTTGGTGACACGTGTCCCTTAATTTGATATACTGATTTATGGCTTATTTACTTTCACCTTTGATGTATAAAATTATTTTTATGATAATCCATGTTTTATATTATCCGATTTGAGTTTATCATTATAATTATGTTTTTAAAGAAGTTACGATTTTTAAAGTGTAGAAATTATGTTGGAAATTTTTATTGTAATCTACTAGATCTGGTCGAAAGCATAGACTGGGTTTAGGGGCTACAAATTCAATAAAATGTATAGTTGAAAAGCATAAAAATATGTATTATCAAATCCAAAATTATATTAGAAGCTTTAAATTCAGTATTAAATGTTTATACAAAATATCAAAAAAATAAATAATAATAATAATATAAATAAATTATAATTGAATCGGAAAAATAAGGACGAAATAGTTTATTCTTTTGTAGCTATTAAATAAGATAGGAAAAATTGTTGAGACATTTTTTTAAGACAAATTCATCTGCTCTTATAATGTTGGAGAACGTTGGTAGATTGTTTCTCAAGATACTATAACGAGATGGACAAAGTAATTGCACTAATTTTTCATTCATCACTCAACTATTTTAAGTATATGATATACCGTTGTAAAAGTCTCATAAAGTATAATATAAAATCATAATTTGATTATTCGAATCTCTGCCTTTACCTATTGAAAATATGCCTCGAAATTTCTAAAAATCCATTTTTTAACATTAAATAGTCATCTAATTGATTTACTAATCTGGTGAATATTACAATTTCAAGTATTTTATTATTCAAATTACACTAATTTTAAATTATAATATCTTTAAACCATTCATATAGTTCATTGTTTTCTCCACCTAATTGTCTCTATATAATAAAACAGTTACATATAATCGTCAGTAACATAAATAATAAATTTATAAATTTGATTCGTTAATGTCAAGATCTAAAAATGAGATACAAAAAATTCAATGTAATTAATTTATTTTCGAAATGGGGATCTATTAAAAAACTATAATTTTTGGTAACTTTTTCTCTTGATGTATAGGGTTAATAGTTGTTGAATAATCAATTAGTTTACAAGTAGTTAATTTTGAGCAACAATTTCTTATTCATCACTAAACTATTTTGAGCATGTTATGTGATATTGTAAAGTCTAATGGAATAGAATATAAACCATGATTTTATTATTCAAATCTTAACCTTTACTCGTTCAAAATATGCCTCGAAATTTTCAAAAATCCATATTTTTCTAACGTTAACTAGACATCTGATTGATTTACAGATTCGATGAACATTACACTTTTAAGTATTTTATTATTCAATTCACACTATTTTTAGAATCCAATGTTTTTTTAATCAATCATGTTATTCGTTGTGTTCTCTGTTTATACGTACTATATTATAAAACAGTTACAGATAAATGTCAATAACGTAAATAATAAATTTATAAATCTGATTCATTAATATCATGATCCATAAATGAGATGTAAAAAATTCAATCTAATTACTTCATTAAAGTATTCAAAATGGGAATCTATTAAAAGAACTATAGTTTTTGGTAACGTTTCTATTTTAATAGTCATTGTTGAATAATCAATCAAATTGCTTAGAGCATCAATTTTTCACTCACTGCTCAATCATTTAGAGCATCTATTTCTCTCTATATAATAAAATCGTGTATTTTCCAAAAGAGCAAAGTTCTGCTACAAAATACAATCAACCGATCAATACAAAAGAATAATACACAACTTGCTTACAAAAGGCAAAGATTGGTTAAGTAATACCCCATGCAATACAAAGGTTAGAATTAATTCTATCAGCTCGATTAATATTTTTACCCTTTAGTTGGATTCGCACAGCTTCAATAATAACTTTGAGCAATTCATCTGAAGATCTGTGACGACTTTTGAAAATTCTGTTATTTCTTTCCTCCCACAATGTGTAAATATAGGATGTCCAAGAAATCTTCAGAATTGTGATGAGTAAGGATTTCCCTTTCCATGTTGAAGTAGCCTGATTAACCATTTCTTCCCGTGTAGTGGATGTATTCTTCAAGCCATTAAGCGATAGGACGGAGCTCCAAAGTTGAACAACAAGAGTGCATTGACAGAAAATGTGATTTCTTGTTTCCTGATCGATTCTGTAGTTTACACATGTCCATTCTGTTGAAATACCCATTTTGAGGAGCCGATCTCTAGTTGGTAATCTGTTTAACAAAGACATCCAAGCAATCAAACTGAATTTAGGAATGTGCATGGGAAACCAAATTAGATTCTGCCAGGGAACTTTCTCCCTTTTGATTCGGATAGAATCCCAAATATCTCTTAGCCTAAGAGAACTTGGTGAGGAGAAGATGTTGAGAGCAGTAGGACACAAATTTAGGAGTCTATTAATACTCCAGCCCACATTAGAACCTGCAACAAAATTCCAATTATCAATAACGTAAATAATAAATTTGTAAATCTGATTCATTATGTCACGATCCATAAATAAGATGCAAAAAATCTAATATAATTACTTCATTAAAGTTTTCAAGATGGGAATCCATTAAAGAAACTATGATTTTTGGTAAATCTCTCTCTCTCTCTCTCTATATATATATATGGGTCCATAATCATTGTTTGAATAATCAATTAGTTTCCTAACCAAAAGCCATTGAATTTAACTTCATAATGGAAAGCGTGAGCCAACACATAGCCGCGATAAGGCAATCTCTCTTTTGGTGAGGTTTGATTCTCTATGTTTTTCTTTGCATCAAAATATATTTATATAAGGTAAAGTACAACTTTTAATTGAATTTTATTTTTTCTCTCATTCTTTTCACCCTATTCACCGTAGTTTAAATCTTTTCAATTTTCACATTGATACTAATATGTTTAGCTTTTTTTTCACTCGATAGTTTTTTTACTAACGGCATTATGACGTGGTTTATTTTTTTTAATGGGTAAATTACAATTAATCACTGAACTTTATCCTCTCTCTTATTTTACTCATTGAACTTTGTGGATGTGCTCATCATTTACTTAAGAGAATCCACTGCGCCGCTACGAACATTTGAGCAGACAATGTGGGTAAAATTATTATTATATATATACACATAAGAAGAGTGGTAAAGTTAATGAGTTTGGCTCAATGATTAATGGGGTGTGATCTTGGAATATTGAGCTGAGAAGGACACTGTTCGAGTGGGAAACGACCATCTTGGAAAACTTTATGAATGTTTCAAACCGTGCTGTGGAGGGTGCGAATAGGCAGGACCGTCTGAAGTGGTTAGGGGCAGCTTGTGGATCTCACTCATCCAAAGAGTACTGTTTAGTTGCAACAGGTGAAGGTGTAATCAAGGATCCGATCTGGAAGTTAGTGCGGTCGAACCTTGCTCCATATAAAGTTGAAGCTTTTGTATGGAAGGCATTAATCCACAAACTTTCACCGGTTTCGCGGGACCTATCGAAACGCGGTGTACGAGTTTCAAATTATATCGTTTGCGCCTACTGTTCTAGTGAAGTCGAATCAATCAACCATTGGTTCTGTCGTTGTATGATTGTTTGGAGGGTGCGGCAGCGTTGGTGCAGTCTGTGGCAGATTCAGTGCACAGGTGTTGCCATTAGATTGGTCGTTTATCAGGGCTGGCTTTCCAATTTGCTATCGTTGATGCACGATGGGGAAGGAATGATCATTTTGGGGTGAGTTATATTATTGTTTCTGTGTTGTTATTTTCTCATATTTCGGGATTTGGAGGAATCATATTCGCTATGGTTAATTGTGAATTATTGTATCTAATTCATCGATACGACTCACTCTTTTTCCTCCATTTAGATTTAGGGAAGTTTTTTTAACGATATTTATATTAATATATTAATGTTTGGTTTGCACAACTTTTCGTTTAATTAAAAATATGCAACTCGTTTTTTACAAAAAAGAAAAAGAAAAAGAAAAAGAGGGTTAACTACATCAAATACCACTGAATTTTAGACGTTATATCGTTTATACTACTAAACTTTCGATTTTGCTAATTGTATCATAGAACCTTGATTTTCGTTTGAATTATATCGTTGGGCGTTAAATCATTAACAATTTGATGAAAATGACGTTGTTTTAGTGAGATGTCAACGTCGGCAGCCGTCAGTCATGTCATCGTGCCATTAACGATTTAACGATTCAGTGGTATAATTGAAAAAAATCAAAATGTACTATAATTAGAGAAATTAAAAATTTTGTAGTATAAACGATATAACGACTAAAGTTTAATATGATCCATTTAGAAAAGAAATAAAGTTAAGAAAAAATAAATAAAGATTTATTTTTTCTTTTTCATCCTCGTGAATTTTACTTTTTTTCAATTTTTTAAATAAATTTATATAGATCTAATAATAAATTAACAAATAATATTAAATTACGATTGCGGCTGTCGTCACGATTGAAGTTGCCGCGTTGCGATTGTGGGTGTATAATATATGTGTATTCTTCAAGTTCCATAATTTCTTTTATTTATCGTGTTAAAAGATCTTTCTTCTTCTTCTTCTTCTTTTTTAATAATATATAAGGATACGGCAACATCTGTTCAAAAATAATTTTCAATCTTTCGACATTAATCGTTCATACTCTGACATCTATGGTGCTCGAATCCGGGTCCTCAAAAATAACAATAATCCGGGTCCAATTTGGTTCGTGCTGATAAAGGATCTTTCGATTGTTCGTTTAGAACCCTTAAAAATTAAAAGATATTATGTTATTGAGGTATTTTACGATGTCGTTTTAATCGAGAGATCTCTCATCATATTATACATTAAATTCGAAACTGTGCATGAGATGTTACATGCAGGGTTAAAGCTGCCTTCGGGTTCATCTCAGCTCGAACATCATTAATCAGCCAGAAATTGTGTTCTAATCTTAACCACAACTCGTGTTGTTTTTCTGTCGTCGGTGACCGCGGGCCAGCAACTGAGGCAAGCTCGTCCCGTCGAGATTGAGTCACGTCCCGTTCCGGAGGAAGTGATCCTGCGTGGTGGAGCCGGAGATCATAGGAGCTGAAGCTTGGTGGTGGTGGCGTGCATGCAAATTCACCATTTTAATGTTTTAGAAGCTTTTGTCTTTTTACCATAACAAAACATAAACCGAGGAGCATGGTTATGTGTCTTACTTTCTATGTGCGAGGGGTTCTTTAATAAACCTTTGGGTAAACCATGCATTTAATACATAAACAATCAGTTTTAGTTTATTTTAGTATTTAAACTTTTAATTTTTTCAAAACCATCCTAATGTTCAGTTTTTTGTTTCGTTTTAGTATCCGTTAAAAACTTAACATTAAGTTTAAAAAAAACTGAAAGTTTAGATATTAAAATGGACTAAAACTAATAGTTTAGGTATTAAACACATTAATTTTTTAACGGCAGAGTACTAAAATGAAATAAATGTTAGGTATGGTTCAGAAAAATTAAAATGTTAGGTACTAAATAGACTAAAAATGATATTTTAAGTACTAAATACATAATTTACCCTAAAATTTTCATTGTGGGTTATGATACTTTAACTTTAAATCCTCACTCAAAATCATACCCGAAATCTGACATGATATTTAGATAAAAATCAACATTCGATTTAGTATAAGTATATATATGTATATACATATATATATTGATAAAATAGGAATCTTACTGTGAAAATATATAGAATAGTTATTATACCTATCTCTAAACATACAAGCAATAAAAATCGATGATTTTTATCATAAATTTGAATTTAATCCGACTTATTCTTTAGAAAACTCAATCCAAATTGAAGCTTTTTTTAAATTTTTTTCCATCCTCTATAATTGAGTGAGATCGAAAATCGTCAAGTCCAGGTCCCATATCCATATCTAGGAATGATAAAATTATAATAGAGTGACTAAATTGTTCAAAAAGATATAGTAAAGGGTCTTCTCCTAGAATTTAACTGAATTTCTCAAAGTCCGCCCTATCTTTCCCGTTATTAAATTTGAGGGACAAAATCCAAGAGAAGCTTACAATTACCTCCGTACAAAGCCATTCCAATCTTTACTTCTCACACTTTCTATTTCTCTCTCATCCTTTCACTTCATTCCTCCGGCGGCGACTCTCACCGGAACCCTACCGGCGTTGGTTCTCATAGCATTGGGTTTTCTCCCCTTCAAATGTTGACATTTCAAAGAAACTAAACACATCGCTCTGTTTTTTCCAGTTCACAAGCTCCATTCCTCTTGTTATCTAACTTGAAAAAAAATTAGCTTCTCGTTTCTCTTCTGGGTGCTCTTTGTTTCCCCACGACTTCACTTTCCCCAAAGATTCCGTTAGCTTCGAGTTCAACTTTTGTTTGAAGCTAAGTGAAAAAAGAATGGAGTTTTTGAAGTGCTGAAAGAGGAAACAAAAAGATGAAGATGAAAAAGCTCTCTACTTACCTCTTGTTTTCGCTTGTTCTTTTAGCTGTTGCTTCTTCCCAAGTGAGATCTTTAACTTTAACCCCATCGTTGAACGATGATGTTTTGGGGCTAATAGTATTCAAAGCAGACATTCAAGATCCAACCCAGAAGCTTTCCTCTTGGAACGAAGACGATGACATTCCTTGCAACTGGAACGGTGTCAAGTGTAACCCGAGGTTGAACCGGGTCACTGAGCTCAACCTCGACGGGTTCTCTCTTTCGGGTCGGATCGGCCGTGGCCTGTTGCAGCTCAAGTTCTTGAGGAAGCTTTCTTTAGCCAAGAACAACCTCAGTGGATCCATTAGTCCCAATTTGGTAAAGCTTGAAAGTCTCAGAATCATTGACTTGAGTGAGAATTCTCTTTCTGGTTTTATCCCTGATGGTTTCTTTGAACAATGTGGGTATTTGAAGTCTGTTTCTCTAGCTAATAACATGTTTTCTGGTAAGATTCCTGGGAGTTTAGGGTCTTGTGCTACACTTGCTGCTATCGACTTGTCTCAAAACCAATTTTCGGGGTCATTGCCTCTTGGGATTTGGGGTCTGAGTGGCTTGAGTTCATTGGATTTGTCTGGTAATATGTTGGAAGGAGAGATTCCAAAAGGGGTTCAAGCTTTGAATAATTTAAGGTCCATTAATTTGAGCAAAAACAAGTTTTCTGGGCAGGTTCCTGATGAGATTGGGAGTTGTTTGTTGTTGAGATCAATTGATTTTAGTTGGAATTGGTTCTCCGGGTCAGTTCCTCAAACAATGCAGAAGCTTAGCTTGTGTAGTTATCTGAATTTGAGTATGAATTCATTTTCCGGTGAGGTTCCCGAATGGTTCGGAGAGATGGAAAGTCTTGAGACTTTGGATTTATCAGTGAATAACTTTTCTGGTCAAGTTCCTGATTCTATAGGAAAACTTAAATCCTTGAAGGTGTTGAATTTCTCTGCTAACGGTTTCAATGGAAGCTTACCTGCATCGATGGAGAACAATGTGAATCTTTTGGCACTGGAATTTAGCCAGAACTTGATGACAGGTGAACTTCCCAGATGGATTTTTAATTCGCAGAATAAGGTTGGTGCAAATGTGGATATTGCCAGTTCAACTTCATTAGGTACCTCCCTTCAAAGAATTCAAGTCTTGGATTTATCTCGGAATTTGTTTTCCGGGGGACTAAGTTTTGAGACCGGGGCTTTAAGCGGCTTGAAGTTGTTGAATCTGTCAAGCAACTCACTCGTTGGACCTATTCCAGGAACTATTGGAGAGTTGACGGCCTTGGATGTTCTTGACTTGAGTCTAAATCAGCTTAATGGAAGCATTCCTACGGAAATTGGAGGAGCATACTCCCTTAAGGATCTTAGGCTCAATGCCAATATCCTAATCGGAAAAATTCCTACATCGATTGAGAACTGCACTTTGCTAAGGACTTTGTAAGTTTCTCTTTGAGTACAATCTGTGCTTCTTAACTTCTCTTTTAATTTTAGGCTCGCTGTTGGATTCACATCAATTAGCTCGATTGGTTGTTTATCTAATATCTAATGCTCGGAGACTATTATTATATTCAGATAGTTCCTTTTTAAATGCTAAGGTAATCTTTTGATATTTGAATTTTAATCTATTTGCTCAAAGGTTGTATGAGTTTGGATTTTCATTGAAAAAATTACTTTTAAATTTGAAACGTCCCATGTTTTCTGGATTTCTCTGTTTCATTTTTATCGATATGTGATGTGGAAAACATGTTTAAGGTTTTTTCTGCAATGGTATCTTAATTTTTCTATGAATTTTCTTGACGACACATCTAAGCGAAAATTTGGTTGCTTCATTGTAATGTGCCGGTTAACGTAGGACTTCCTTTTGTTATTGAGTTGTATAGGATCATATCACACAACAAGCTGAGCGGCCCAATACCAGCTGAAATCGGAAAACTGAGCAACCTAGAAAACGTGGACTTGTCTTTCAACAGCCTTATGGGGACGTTGCCAAAGCAGTTGGCCAATCTTCCCCGTCTCTTATCTTTCAACATTTCCCACAACAATTTACAAGGAGAGTTACCTGCTGGTATATTTTTCAACACCATATCACCTACAGCTGTCACCGGCAATCCCTTACTCTGTGGCTCCGCAGTCAACAAATCTTGCCCTGCAGTTCTCCCGAAACCCATTGTCCTAAATCCTAACACCACTGCTGATTCCATTTCTGGTGAATTACCTCCGAATGTTGGTCATAAAAGGATAGTTCTTAGTATCTCTTCCCTAATTGCCATTGGTGCTGCTGCTTTCATTGTTGTTGGAGTCATTGCCATCACCGTTCTTAATCTCCGTGTCAAGTCATCAACATCCCGGTCTGCAGAACCCCTCACATTTTCTGCCGGGGAGGAGTTTAGCCAATCCCCTACTACAGATGCCAACTCTGGGAAACTTGTCATGTTCTCTGGTGAGCCAGACTTTAGTACAGGAGCACATGCTTTGCTCAACAAGGACTGTGAGCTCGGGCATGGTGGGTTTGGAGCAGTTTACCGAACAGTTTTGCAAGATGGGCGCTCAGTGGCAATCAAGAAGCTCACTGTCTCAAGTCTTGTGAAGTCACAAGAAGAATTCGAAAGGGAAGTTAAGAAACTAGGGAAAATAAGTCACCCTAATCTCGTGGCACTCGAGGGCTATTACTGGACTCCATCATTGCAACTTCTCATTTCTGAATTTGTGCCTGGTGGAAGTCTGCACAAACATCTCCACGAAGGACCGGGTGGAAATCACCTTTCTTGGCATGACAGATTCCGTATCATTCTAGGGACAGCGAAAAGCTTGGCTCACTTGCACCGATCGAACATTATTCACTACAATATAAAGTCAAGCAATGTCCTTATAGATGGTTCGGGCGAACCTAAATTGGGAGATTTTGGCCTAGCAAGGTTGTTGCCTATGTTAGACCTCTACGTTTTAAGCAGCAAAATCCAAAGTGCACTTGGTTACATGGCACCCGAGTTTGCCTGCCGCACAGTGAAAATAAACGAGAAATGTGATGTGTATGGATTTGGTGTTTTGGTGATGGAAGTGGTCACCGGGAAGAGACCTGTTGAGTACATGGAAGATGACGTGGTGGTGCTCTGCGAGATGGTCCGAGAAGCGTTGGAAGAAGGCAGGGTGGAAGAATGTGTTGATGGAAGGCTGCAAGGGAAATTCCCAGTAGAGGAAGCGATTCCAGTCATGAAACTAGGCTTAATCTGCACGTCGCAAGTACCATCAAACCGACCAGATATGGAAGAGGTAATCAAGATTTTGGAATTGACCAGATGCCCTTCAGAAGGCCAAGAAGATTCGGGATGACTTTAACTAATACCTTAAGAAATTGAAAGATTTATGAAGGGGTTATCCGGCGAGGAAGAATCCGGTTTGTTCATTTCATCAAAGAGAAGAAATATTTGTTTGTCGTAATTGTTTTTGTTTCCATTTTCCGTTTACGTTCGTGGTTTCTTTTGTAGTTGTAGCTCGGTCTGCCGGATTCCTTTTCACCGGTTTCCATTTCCGGTACCCCTTTGGATACTGTAACCTAGTTGACTAATCTTCACTGTTCTGCAAATTTTTGTTCATTGGGATTTTATATTGTTAGCATTAGGTTATGATATAATGCATCTTTAGGTAATGTACTGTGATATATATCTTTTGTGCTTGCTCATCTTCATGTCAAAGGCGTAAACGAGACATACAAGTGCATCTTTCGGGTTTTGAGCTCGACATAGACTCGATTTTAGGGTAGTCAACGAGAAGTTTACCGTTCGGGTTTCGAGCTTGACATAGACTTGATTTTAGGGTAGTCAACCAAAAGTTCACTGTTCGTTTTCGAGCTCGAAATAGACTCGATTTTAGGGTAGTCAACCAAAAGTTAACTGTTCGGTTTTCGAGCTCGAAATAGACTTGATTTTAGCGTAGTCAGCCAAAAGTTCACCGTTTGGGTTTCGAGCTTAGCCTGACTTGATTTTAGGTTAGTGAACCAAAAGTGATATTCTTAGAAAAAATGTTGGTCCCAAGATATTGGAATTTTCATACTCAACTATGCACATGGGGCTCGTTTCTTAATAAATTAACAATTTTATGTTCATTCATACATGCATGCATGTGTACATACATACAATAAATCTCAGCCCTCCATTTTTGTACATATCAGATTTTCGGATAAAGCTTGACAGGAAGCCCCATGGCAGGGTATGGCATAGGTGATCGGATGATAGGCTCATCAGGGATCATCTCGGTCCAGCTATACTTCGTCACAAGATGATGAATAATCAGCAATGACTCAACTCTAGCGAATTCGATTCCGGCACAAACTCGAGGCCCTGCTCCAAACGGCACGTAAGTGTACGGAGGGAACACTTTCGACGAGCCCTCGAATCTCGACGGATCGAACTTCTCTGGATCTTCAAAAATGTTGCTGTCCATGTGAGTGCCTGGTGCCACCGAAAATATCTGTAGCAAAACAGTAAGAAAAGGAGGAAGTTACAGATGTTGAGATTCGAAACCCGGGATCGGTTCTAATTCGAGGGGACTATTTACTTGCCATCCTTTGGGAATGTGGAAATAAAAGTGATCAATTACCTTACCCTTACATTTTAGCAAAGCACAATACTTCAATAAAGAAAGTATTTTTCAGACATATCAAGCGTTCAATTTTTTTTAAAAAAAATGTTGTGAGTTCTAGCAAAAGGAAAAGGGTTATTCTTGCAAAGAAGCAAAGCACAATGCTTTAACCAAAGAGAAAGAAACATTAGGATACGTTAGCATATCAATTTTAGGAGAAGTCATTCCATCGTCTGGGTGTCGCAAATTTGCGGGGTTTGAGTTCACCGGAGATACGGTTTCGGATCGCGATTTTGTCGTTTCCTTCATCAGAGGCGCGGCGTTTATGGTCGGGTTTGACTTGTCGAAGGGTTGAGGTTCAAGTGGAGGTTTAATCGATGTCAAACAGCGACGGTTGACGTGAGTTTAGGAATTGAAATTGAAGTTTTCAAAGTTTTGAGGGATTTTTAAGTTTTTCAATTTTTTTGAGTTTTTAATATATAGCTTTATTTTTTATTTTATATAAAATTTTTAAAATTATCACGTCACATAATCTTCATTGAAGTATTGTACTCTCTTTTATTATTTTTAAAAATTTTAAATAAAATTTTGAGTCTGCTTCTTTAAAAATCTTCAGTCATATCAAAAGCAAAATAAAAAACAAAATTGATTAATTACCTTAGCCTTACATTTTAGCGAATCACAATACTTCAATAAAGAAAATATTTTTCAAATATTTTAACATATAAAGCTTTCATTTATTTTTATTTATTTATTTATTTATTTATTTATTTGCATAAATACCTTGTTTCGAGCGAATGAGGTGAATAATAAAAAAACAGTAAGTAGAGAACTAAAGAATTGAAGTGGAAATAAAGGAAGTGTAAATTAAGATTAAAAATACCAATGTTAAAATCGTCTCGAGCTAGGTTCGTTCAATTCCGTTGATCATCGAAATGAATTTTTTCCATTAAAATCATGTCAGTTACAATCTACAAGGCCCAACCCATTGTAACTTGCTTTCTTTTTAATAACTGATCTTCCCAAGTCACTCTTCGAAAGTCAATTCTTGAATAGGCTAACCACAACTATTGTCGTTAGAACAAAAAGAATTAAGTACTGAAAAGACCCGACTCGAATTATGTTGTCTCGTCGAGAATCAAATCTGATCTCGAATTTCCTTAGCGGACCGTCGCTAAGTGTGTTCAAATGAGGTAGAATATGCCACAGGTCGATCCCTCCTCCCAACTGTAAATTATAACAACATCCAGACTAACATCGACTTTTTGATTTGAAAGCATTTTAATTTTGAAAGTAAGGCCGATTGCCAAACTAATAAAACATAAAATCGAGAATGTATCCCGAAGGGTATTAAGTACTTTATCAATTCTTACATATGGAAATGAATCATCGCTAACTCTCAGCTAATAAAAAAATGAGCTAAACATGATAGAGACCATACTTAGCATATTTTATGAAAATAAAGGAAACTTAAAGTAAAAATAGAAATGAATAAAAAAATGGAAACTTTTACAAAAACGAAATTGAAGTAACAAAGCAAAAAACAAATAGAATATACTCCTAAGCACACATCCGTTAGTCTTGCAAATAAGCAAAGCATACTGCTTTAACCAAAGAGAGGAGTGAATTTTTAAGATGCTTTAACCAAAGTTTATCTTTCAGTTCAAGTCACTCTTGTTTGTACCTTACTTGCTAGTATTAATGTTAAAATGCTTTTTTCTTTCTTTCTTTTCTTTAATTGCTTTTTACAAGAAATTCTTAGTTATTGTTAGAACAAGTCGTCGTCATTTCATGAGGTGAGAAAGCTTATTTCCAGTCACCCTCTCCATCCCCAACACTCTGTTTTTTTCCTTCGAAAAAGGCTACATCCTGGTATTCAGGTATATGGTTGTGCATTATGCAAGGAGAAACGTAACAGAAAGAAATAACTTTTTGTTAAAGAATTTGAAAGAAAATGATTTGTGGTACTTAGTAGAATTTATGAAAATGTATAATTTTTTTATGATCTAATTGATGTCATTATACGAAGTTTTATGATCTAATCGATGTAATGTATGAATATTGGCAAATTGATGAGATAATGATTTGGGGAAAATGACTCCTATTTGAAAAATTATTTTCCCAATAGGGTAAAATCAACTGTGTACGGGGGAAGACGGTTGGACCACCTGGGTCTTTGGGAAGACGTCTGGAAGACTCGGCGTCTTCTTCAGGCTGCATGTAGTCTGAACGCCAATCTAATAGAGTAACCTAGAGGACGTCGTGTCTTCAGGCGTCTTCATGAAGACGCCAAGTGTTCCATGCGTCTTTCCTGTTTGAGAAAATAAACTCATATGTGTTACTTGGGGAAATTTCCCCCCACTTTATATTACAGTGATTTTGCCTATGAATATTTTATGATCTAATTGATGTCAATTTTATGGGGTTTCCCCCTTAGATCATCCCTAGTTATATGTTGGTACTTATTAGAATTCATGAAATGTATGGAATTTTAATGATTTGATTGATATCAATTATATAAGGTTTTCGGTTTCCCATTCCAATTGTAGGTATTCTTGTATGGTCATGCATGCTTCTATCTCACTCTTTGTTTCAGCCATATAGTTGTTTTGTTGGCAATCTTCTTTTTAACAATGTAGTGCTGCAGTTGATTTTCAGACCCCTTGGTGAATGGGATTTTTGTTATTTTACAAGGTTAAGTTTCGGCGGAACTCTAAAAGCATGCATTTTTGAGAATCAAGTTCAAGTTAATTACATGATGGCATCTATATTATGTTACCTTTTTGTTAAATGTGGTTTTGGCTTCTTTCTGGTCTCTTTTCTGGTCTTGCGTGTTTAGGGAATTTTAGCATGTGTTGGGTTGTTTCACCATCTATTTGTGTGCTGGTATGTTTTTGGCTTCTTTTGGTCTCATTTATGAGGAAGCTTTCAGTATAAGTATTGTTTTTATTAATTTCAATGCTTGTTCTGTACCATGATTAGGAGGAGGGCATAAATGTTCCATGAAATATTCGAGTAACCATAAGTATTGAGTTGCATAATGTAGTAGCAAGTATATTCTTGGATTGTTAGGGAGTTTTAGCATGTTTTGGGTTGTTTCACCATCTAATTGTGTGCTGGTATTGATTCTTTAGGACATTTTGTGTCAGTATCACTTAGCATTGCTTCATAAATACTCCAATTCGCGTGTCAGTATCACTGAACTTTGCTTCATAGGTACTCTTAATTCACCATTCATTAATCTGAGAAGCTATTCTTGATCTTAGCTGAAAGTACTGGCATGTAGAATGTCACTTGATCTGCAAAATGACTTTATTGGCAGTTATGGATTTTGTTTGAATATTTTTCCATTTTGCACATTTGACTGCTGTTAGCTTTGTTTATGTGTTAATGTGGGAAAATAAGCTGTTCTATCCGAACTCTGTAACTTTCAATAATGGGCCTAGTTAGGTCATGTTTGCAAAAGTTACAACCTTTTTCCGTTCATGTTCTGTTTGAATACTTCTGAACTCGACTGTTCTATTCATATATTAATGTCAAGTTTCTGAACTCACCTTAGTTGGAATGGGAGTTCTCTCATAGATTTGACGATTGCTTATTGTGAGGTGAGTCGGGGTTCACATTGAGGTTTGCCCCTAAGAAGCTACATAATTTTGTAGGATCATGCAAATGGGCAGTCCGCTGCTCGCTCTAAAGAGCGGAAAGGTCGATATGTCCGAACTGGAGAGAAAAGTTCACAAACTTCAAACAGAAGCAACTACCCTTTCTGCACAACTAACCCTGTTCCAGGTTTTTCTCGAACACTTACCTTTCTCATTGCACCATTCTCTAGCCTGTTTGTGGTTAATATTTGCGTTCCTTCATACTAAAATACCATATTTACGTTTTAAACAATCAAGGGAAAAGTATGCACACACCTATCAGCCTATCAGCAATCAGCTATCGCCTATCAGCCAATCAGCCTATCGCCTATCGCCTATCAGCCTATCGCCTATCAGCCTGTTTGTGGTTAATTTGCATTCCTTCATACTAAAATACTTAACGTTTATCGCCTATCAGCCTCACGGCGTAATAAATACTTGGCAACTCTACTTTTTAATCTATAAATCGCTTTTTTGCAGTTGAGGTTCTAGTTCAATCTGAGTCTTAATAGTCTATGTTCAAATCCAGAGAGATGTGACAAGCTTGACTACGGAGGACACTGAGCTTACGACTGCAGGCTATGGAACAGCAGGCTCGGCTACGTGACAGTATGTTCTATCCCAACTTATTTACCAATTCTCTCTAAGACGCATGCTTTCATAAATGTATAACTACTCAAGTTAAGCAGTTTGTTATACCTTATTTACTAATACAAACCAACATCGACACTAGTTTTAAATAAAGGATGCCTTTTTCTGAGTAGTGTTCTTGGCTTAGTGTTCAAATTTCGGGTGCCATTAACGATGTTGCATGGAGATGTTTAGTCATGTTCCGGTTATTTCACTCGAAAAACTATTGCAAAGTGTTGTTAACTGCCTATAGTTTTTCTCATTGTTCGCTTCTGACCACAGCTCTCAGTGAACAGCTGAAGAAGGAAGTAGAGACGCTCAAGATTGCCACCAGAAGCTTCTGACCACAGCTCTCAGTGAACAGCTGAAGAAGGAAGTAGAGACGCTCAAGATTGCCACCGGAGAAGCAACGACACCCACGGACGCCTTCAGTTTGGGAATGCACAATATACCATACACACAATCTTCCTTCTTTCCTTCCCAGCCACAGCTATACAAGTCGACACCCAGAGTATACAACTGCCACCATTCATCCCTTCCAATCTAACACGTTTAAATTCGTTTTCCGATATGTTGCAACAGGACCCTCTTGGCCAATTGCAGGGGCTTGATATCAGTAGCAGGGGTTCCCACTCTGTGAAATCCGATGGCTCATCGATTTCCGCCAGTGAAAGCAGTGGAACATTATCAAACGAAAATTTCCTCGCCTGCACCTTCTCCTGCCCTATTTGTTGAAGTTTTCATAGGCTGACCTTATTGACATTCATAGGTACAATCCGATCGAATTCGATTCTTTTAACGGTTTCGTTTCTGGGATTTTAGTTTTGATGTAGCTTTGCTAGGTATTAAAGATATTCAAGAATCTTCTCTTCTGGGATTCAAATTCATTTGTTTTGGAGCAATGGGTGTGGGATTAGAGCTTGATCTATAGGTGTAGCCGTGTAGGGTAATGCAGTATCATCTTGGACCAGCTGCTACCATTGTATTATCTAGGGATGCTAATTTAACCCGAAATTGACGGATTCCGACCTTACCCGATCCGGTAGGGTTGGATTTTTTTAAATCTGTTTTAGGTTGGGTTGGGTCAGATTTTTTAAGGGAGTGATGCCGGATCGGGTTTGGGTGGAGGGTGAAAAAACTCCAATCCGACTCGATCCGGGGATAATAATGTAATTTCTTCAAAAGATTTATTATTTTTAATTAAATCTTTATTTTATACTGGTCAAATCGAATCGGATTCTGGTGGAAATATATATTTTTCGAGTCTGGTTCGAGTGGAGAATACTTATTTTTTTTCTTCTTAAAATTGAGTCATATATAATTGACATATCAACATGCCACTAATTTAACACTTCACAATACAATTTGATTTTTTTTTTGCTAAGGGTAAAAATTGATATGCAAAATGTGATCATATTTGTCTACTCTTTCTTTTGTCCATAGGTATAAGTTTACAATTAAAATAATAATTATATATGAATTTTGAATAATTTAATTTAAATAACTTGAAATATTAGTCCAATACTTCTATATACTAAACTTTAAACTTTAATACTCAATTAACCGTGTCAATAAATGTAACTAAGAGCAGAAACAACTAAATTTTGAAAGGATCTAATTCAAATATTCCCAAATATGAATTATTCAAGTTAAGATAATCTTAATCTCTTGTTAATTGCATCATATGTTCTAAAATTATACTTTTATTTTAAATCAGTTTTCAAATTTTGAATATTCTAATTTTATCATCAAATAACGATCCTTATCTTAAACCTGTCCCAAACTTTTGAATCTTCCAATTTCATCAATGAATTCATCCAATATATTTAATTAATTTCAACCATAGTTTTTTTTTAAACATGTAATAATATAGCTTGGCATAACAGTTTTATTAGTAGGGTATGTGCTTAGCACATACCAATAATTTGGGATGGATTTAAAATGTTCAAAAGTATGAGGACTAATTTAAAATAAGGATCATAGTTTAGGATCAAATTAAAATGTTTAACAGTCTAAAGACTAATTTAAAGTAAAAATATAGCTTAGAATTGAATTAAAACATTCACAAGTATAGAATCAATTTAGAATAATTATAGTTTCGAGACGTATATAATTAACTCTCAAATATAAACCCCATTGGAAAATCTTGAAACTAAAATTAGTTCAAATAAATGTAATTCTATCAAACCTTTGGGATAAAAATTGTAAACAAGAAAAGTACAAAGGTCTAAAACAAAATTAGGGTTTCAGACTTCATTAGAGATACTCGCCTATAAAGACAACATTTTTGCCCAAAAATCGTTGTCTTTCCCGGCCGGTAGAAGCATAGAGCCTACACTTTAATCTCTAGCCATGGTTAGATTTCGTTTCATCTGTATTTTCAGATTCCGGTTCCTTGTAAAAATTCAATCTTTTTCACAATTTTGATATATCTGATTGTTTTTTTAGACTTTCAAGCGTAGGAATGGTGGTCGTAACAAGCACGGCCGTGGCCATGTCAAGTTCATCCGCTGCTCTAACTGTGGAAAATGCTGTCCCAAGGTACTTTACATCTCATTTTCTCATCTGGGTATCTGTTTTTTTTCCTATGTATTTTTGTTTTTATTTGATTGTTTTGGAACTATATAGGATAAGTCAATCAAGAGGTTTATTGTGAGGAACATTGTGGAGCAAGCTGCTGTCAGAGATGTCCAGGAAGCCTGCGTCTATGACAGTAATTTTCACTTAATTTCTAAATTTTATATGATAAATATATAACTTTACTGAATATGTTTGGATGTATTGTTTGGTGATTGATTGGTTGTTGTTATGTAGCCTACACTCTGCCGAAGCTGTATTTGAAGATGCAATACTGTGTTTCGTGTGCGATCCATTCCCACGTGGTGAGAGTCCGATCTCGCACCGACAGGAGGAACCGTGACCCGCCACAGCGTTTCATCAGGCGCAGGGTATGCCCTTTTATAACCTATGATTTGATGTTTTTTACTGTCAGTTATCATTTTAAATGTGAATAGAAGTTTCTCAAACTTGCTTTGATTGTTATCATTTTCTTGTATCTCATGATAAAGATTTGTAAATGTCTCATTTAAAGGTATGTTTCTGTCATTATGTACTCTAGTGTTGTCAATGGAATTTGAGCTATTGAAATTGATAATGGCTTGCAGCTTTATCGACCTATGAATCTATGATCATTGTTAGATTAGTTTCTATTTTGCTATGTTGTATTGCATGATAGAAGGATAATTTGAGAATTCCTTAAAGACTCCTTGTAAGGTTTCAGTGATTTATGGATGGGAACTAGTTCTTAATATCTAATATCCATCTGAATTATCATTTTTTTCATTTGTCCCTTTTGATGTCTTATTGATCATAATGGTGCGGTAGATTTGGAAACATTGGGCCGGTAGCGCAATGTGCCCTTCATTTGTAAATTTCTGTTTAGTATGTTATAGGATGCTATTCAATTGGATAAACTTTTGCCTGCCCATTCTGCAGTTTTTTTCAGTGCTCGAGTGATATATGGAGGTCACCCAGATTTATTAAAATTTAACTACACCTCAAAACCAGATATTCCATATTTCATATAGTGATCCATGAGCATCATTTTGTTAGTTGCTTTTTTGGGTGGCATGCCGATCACTATAAGATGGGAAATGGCTTTACTTGGATGTTAGGTTTCTGAGATTTTTGCTTCTATGACACTCATTGCCTGTTTTGTGTTGATTTTTGTTTGTTTCCAATGTTTTCTCAACCACTTGTATTCAATAGCTTCATTGATTTTATATGTTATCTTGATTTTACCAGGATGATATGCCAAAGCCTGGACTGCCTGGTCAAGCCCCTCGTCCCGGTGTTGCGGTTCCTCCTCGTGCTTAAGGCTCTTTGAGTTTTGGATGGATTTCCATTGTGTTTTGCTTTAAAACGTGCACTTGAGTTGTGTAGACTTTTAGTTGTGTTGGATGGTTTTGATTGGTTGAAACTTATTCGAATTCGAAATCTTTTGTTAAGCTATAATTGTTGAGAAAACTAGTTGGATTCTCATAATTCTGATATATTTGCTCTTGGTTCTTAAAACATCGCTTACCAATTGAGATATTGCTCCAACTTGTTCTTAAAACATCGCTTACCAATTGAGATATTGCTCGTTTACAGTAGGTTATTATCGACTCTAAACTAGAGCTAGCTGAAGTTAGATGCTTTGTTCAAACTCAGTTTTGATACTTTTAACTGGGTAAAGAACCGGACAACGTTTGTTCAACATCGATGGCCATGCTTGTTCTGGGTTGATTAAACTCGATTTGATTGCTACTGGCATCTGTCTCCTACATGTTTGAATCTCATCTCAGCTGAACACAAGTTCGAACAACTCAAGCCATCTGATCAAAGAAGTGTACAATGCTTCTGGGCTTCGGAATTCTCGGTGCCGATATGTGATTGTTCGGAAATCCGATGCATCCAACTGCCATGGAAGTTTGTCTTGATAACAGTCATTGAGTACTTCATAGATAGCTCAATCAATGAATACAACAGATCATCATCCTGCTTAAAGCTCTTGCTTTTCTGGGCACTCTTAGCCTAGCTTTAATTTTAAAACATATTTTGTTTCAATTTTTGGTTCCCGGTAGATACATTAAGATTGAATCATTTTAAAAATAGAATTATAATGAAGTGAGATGATGTTATCATGATGGAAAAATATTTTTTTATTTTAAGAATTTTGATATTAATATTTACATATAAAGTAAATACTAATTTTTAACTAGATCCAATGGAACCAAAATAAAAAATTTCCTTATTTTATTTTCTTCCTTCATAATAATAAAATCAGAACTTTACCTAAAGAATTGAATATTTTAATGGTTCTTAACTGGATTTCACTGTTTACTTACATGTGGAACACACGTGCAAGTTTCTTTTATATGATCCCATGGTGGGTTGCCACATCACCACCCTCCCAATACAGGGGGAAAGGTGTTGGTTCATTTCCATTTCTGTTTTTGGAAAGGGTTAGGGTTTACTGTCTTTTGATAGACTTATTGTTTCATTGATTGATAGTTGAACTCGAAGCATCTGTCTTGTGTCTTAGCTTGAGACAGAGAATCAAAGATGATATTCTTCTTCTTGCCTGGAAAAAAAGGAGAAACAGTGTTCAAGCAGTTCTCCATGAGACAGAGCAGAAGGAAGCAAACAAGAACCCATTTGGTAACTTTATTGAGGTAATGATTCTCAGCTATGGACTTGATTTTTCAAATTTCTGTCGAATTTGGAACTTGAGGTTTTGTCTTTAAAGTAGTGTGTAGTAGCTAGGTTGAAGATGATGCACTCTGGCTTCACATTCACATATCCTTCATTTCAAAATAAGAATGTCCCCTTGTTTTTAATTTTGTGTTATTTGCACAATGGAGACAAAATTAGTATATAGCATATGTCTTCGATCCCGGGACTTAGATAAGTTGATTTTGATTTTTACCGTTACTTTTAAGAGATGACATCTAATGGATTATGTGAATAGGGATGTTGAAACATAGGAGATTGAATAAGAACATACAATGTGTCTTCGATCCCGGAACTTAGATCAGTTGATTTTGATTCTTATCGTTACTTTTAAGAGCTGACATTGAATGGGTTATGTGAGTTGGGATGCTGGAACATAGGAGACTGAATAAGTACATAACATGTGGCTTCGATACCTGAACTTAGATAAGTTTGGTTTTGATTTTGTGTTATTTGTACATGAACTTAGATAAATTGATTTCAATTTTTCTTTTAGGAGCTGACATATAATGGGTTATGGGAGTAGGGATGTTGAAACATAGGTGAATGAATAAGTACACAACACGTGTTTTCGATCCTGAAACTTAGATCAGTTGATTTTGATTCTTACCGTTACTTTTAAGAGCCGGCATATAATAGGTCATTTGAGTAGGGACGTTGAAACATAGGAAACTAAATATGTACATAACACGTGTCTTCGATCCCGGAACTTAAATCAGTTGTTTATGATTCTTGCCGTTATTTTCAATAATCCACATTTAATAGGTTTGAAATCGGAATCATTTCATTAAAAGTATACTCTAAAATCTTCTATGACATAGTACGAGAGGATAACAAATACTATCATCTGACTCGTGTGTCTAGACATAATCGATTTGACATATTAATATATCCATTTGAACGCTCATATTTGACATGAAGTCTTGTATGACGTATTAAGTCAAATGACACAACATCGGATAGGTTTTTGGAAGTTACGAATCCGACAAGATTAAAACTAAATAAAAATAAAAATGTGCATCTTGAAATGATTTGAAATTTGTGAACCTATTTCATAAGTTCCCATGTGAGTTGGTATTCAAATTGACACAAACAAGACAAGTAGTGTCATCACTAGGCAAGATAACAAGCCCAGAATCTCATGGAAATCAATGCAGTCCGTGGTGATATTTGGTAATAAAATGAAGAGCAGTCAAGATTCCTTTAAGCTTTGTAACTGATACTGGATATGTTTTAGTAATTCTATTATGGCAATATGCTGACATACTTATGACCTTTCAACCAGTTTGACCAATAATCTGCTTTTGTATCACTAATGAAGAAAAATACATTTTTGCCAAGATAAACTCTGCAATTTGGAACACATTCATATGGTTTATACCCTTTCCATTGACCAATAAGTGTGCCATAAACTGCTACTTGTATTTGCCATCTGTTCTATTCTACCCCTAGTTTTCTTCTTCTTCTTTTAACTTTTAATGGGGTTGAGATTCTTTTGCCATTTATTATCATATTTGAAGAGTCTTGGCCAAACTTTCTCTTCTTTGGAAGGACCAACTTTTATTTGACTTTCCAGTACTTATTTTTTTCAATTATTACAAACATTTATGGTGAAGCTTTTAGACACTAAAAATAGTGTTAGATGATGGTGAAGTTGTCATATGTACATTTAATAATTTAATTCCATTAATTTGCCTAAGAAGAATATCCATAATGGGAACATACATCAATTCACTAACCTTGATAAAGGGTAACAATTTTTCTTTTCTTCTCTGGACTTATAGCTGAATATTGGGTAAGGGTATTTTTATTTTTTTAAAAACCTTTATAGAATGTGATCGGATGTTTATATCTATGTTCGGATACGGATACTTAAAAAATCGGAAAAGAAATAAAAATTTTCCTTCTTAACCAGAAGTTAGTCCATAGGATGACTCATAAAGAGGATTAAAATCTAAAAACACTGGCAAAGGCTAAGAATACTTCCATTATAGTATTTTATATATGTACATATGTAGATTTACTAAATTCAATTTGAAATTTAAATACTTTAATTGTGTGTTGGATAAATTTCCTTATTTTACTCCAATGTCTGTTTTTAACACACACAAAAATCGAATATTTTCAATTTACCAAACTAGTCCCGCCTTTATGCATAAAATTGCAGTTGCACCACAATTTTTGATTTTATGTAGCCCATCTTGCTGCTTTATTAGAGGGCTTTTTGAAGACGACAAAAAGAGTTTTTCAGGGATGCATCAGTATATGTCAAAGCCACTTTGAAACATATGTTTCAAACTCAAGTGTGGCCGTTTTTCATCTTCTTCTCTGTTCCATCTCTGCTCATTCTTCTGCTACTTTGTCAACACTTCTTAATGATCTCTTTGTTTATATGAAACGGAAAAAGAACTTTTCTTTCTTCCACCATTGTATCTTTGTTGCTCTCCTTGAAATCCTTTAATTGTCCCATCATCTCACAAAACCCAATGGCGTCGGTTTCTTTTTTATTTTGATTCTTCTCTTCAATTGTGGGGATTTGCAGATGTTGGTTTCTGCTTGTTCGACATTGGAATGGTGAATGTTCCTTGGTTGTTTTAGAGAAAAAAGCACGTTTTTTTATTTGCAGAATGGAAGATTTTCAAGTTTGTTTGGCAGCTTCTTCATCTTTGTCTTTGTCGTCTACTTCTTCTTCATATCCTCTCTCCCACCCATCATCTCCTTCTTCTTCTTATCTGTCTGTGTCATCTTCTTCTTTCTCTTCATCTACCAACCCAATTCCATTGTCAATTGACGGTGAACTTTGGCTGTTGGCTGAGAAACGAGCCCTGGAGATACTTTGTATTGTTCAACCTTCTTTGGTTTCTGAGGAAAATCGAAAAAGTGTTATTTTTTACTTTCAGACGCTAATCAGAGCTTACTGTGGCAGTGAGGTATACTCAATTTCCCTGGACTTTTGTGTGTGTTTGTGTAACTGGACAAGTTCTAGAAATTTTAGGTTCTTGGTTTTCAATTATCTGTTTAGGAACGTTGGCACTACGAGGAAAATCTTTTGGTCTTACTGGTTAAGATATCCATATAGCTTGACTGATGACTAGAAGGCTTCTATTATCTGTGTCTTGCTGTTTGGTATATACTGTATTGTCCCTTTTAATGCATAGTTTGATGAGTTTCTTTTATGCAGTGAGTTCTGAGCATGCATGTATTACACTTGTGAACATGGATATCAAAGTTATTTGCTTGATCTTTTAGAAGGCAAAGGGTATCTGATTGATATTTCCTTGTTTTGTGCTGTTCTAGCCCGACAAGCAACGAAAAAACGGAACCCAAAATCTCGGTGATTGTTTAGAAGTGTGATAAATTAAGACTGATTTTGTTTTGTCTTTTTGAGTTATACTTGACTAGCTTCTTAATGAACTTTAGTTGTATTTTTATGGTCTATTAGTGATGGTTAGTCATTTCTTGATGCTTGATTCTTTTTGAAGATAAAGGTAGCTTGCATAGCTTTGGGCTCGAGTGTTTGGCTCCGAAGAGTGCGGACGTGTGGGGTTTGATCTAGTCATATAATTAATTAACCGTTTCCTTTAACGCAATTTGGCATCCGTTCTCGAACCTAATAGATCGTCCTTTTAATATCACTTGCTTTCGTGGAAGTAAACTTGGACTATAGATATAAACGGATTGAGCTTCGTAAATGCTTTTACGGTTAAATCACGTGCCTTAGTAAATGCATCTCGCTCGGTTTGTAAATCACCTTTTCTAGGTTGAGCTATTCCGTAGTGCATATATCGTTTTTACTCTACAACAATTTATTACAAATTTTCAAAGATTCAAAGGAAAATAACCATCGGAGAGGATCAAGTAGCAGTTCGATGTATATTTACATTTTTTTTCATTCTAATGCAGTACTTTTACCTTCCCATTTGCTTTTCAGGTGTTCCCGTTTGGCTCAGTACCGCTAAAGACCTTCCTCCCCGATGGAGATATTGATTTGACTGCGCTTACTCAATCAAATATGGAGGAAAATCTGGCACAGCATATTTGCAGTATCCTACAAGATAACCGGCAAAACCCTGGGTTCATAGTACAGAATGTTCAATATATTCCTGCTCAGGTTTTGTTTCTTTTGTGTGTATGAACTTATGTTTTTGTAACACAACATAACAGTGATATTCTGGCGGACGAATGGTACCGTGTTCTTTTGTTGCTACTATGCGGATAGAAAAATTATCAAATCAAGATAATGATATAGTGTTTATAGCATATTAATGTTCATAACTATTGCAGCGAATAGAGTCCAGATCATTTCGATCTGATATCTGTTTGTTTTTGAAATTTTATGTCAGGTTAAGATAGTGAAATGTACCGTTAACGATATACCGGTGGACATTTCTTTCAATCAAATGGCTGGTCTATCTGCGTTATGCTTCCTTGAGAAGGTATTGTCTAATCTTACCGCAAACATCTTGATCGAGATAATCCAAATTCATATAATTGACTATGTAACAGACTAGAGTCAAAAATATAATTCTAAATGATATATTGTTCCAGCATTAGTATTAAGTCGTTAGATGATCTTGGTTGGCTACCTAGCGTTTTATCCTTGTTTTCTGTACGGACTACGAACCAGCACAGAAGTCGATTTAGCTTTTCCTTTTTTCCTATGTAAATGTTTTAAGTCTTTACTCTTTTCCGGATTTGAGAGAAATTAATGTCTATCTTTTCGCATTGGAACGGTTTGATTTGCAGGTCAACCAACTTATTGGGAAAGATCATCTTTTCAAGCGCAGTATCATCTTGATCAAGTCCTGGTGTTATTATGAGAGCCGAATTCTCGGTGCACACCATGGCTTGATTTCTACATATGCATTAGAAACGATGATCTTGCACATCATTAATGTCTTTCATTCATCCTTATGCGGTCCACTATCGGTGAGTTATTCCTTCCCATCTAGCATTTCCCCTTATCATCTGCCGAAATTTGGGCAACGACACCATTTGTATTTTGTTTACAGGTCCTTCACAAATTTTTGGACTACTACAGCACATTTGATTGGGCAAATTACTGCATTACTATAACTGGTCCACTTCCCATATCCTCCCTTCCTGCAGGTTTCGGTAAGTTCTAAGTAGTGCATTATTCTCGATTCATGTAAATCTAATCGGTTCAGTTTAAATCTAGTTTTTTTTTTCTTTGTAATTTTGCAGCTGGGACTCCAGAAACCGATGGGGATGAATTTCTGCTTAGTCGGGACTTTTTGAGGTATTGCAGAGAATCATATTGTGCTTCGCTGCAGTTCCCTGAGGTCGGGGACAATGCTTTTCCCGTCAAGAATATGAACATCGTGGATCCTTTGAAAGTACACAACAACCTAGGCCGAAGTGTTAGCAAAGGTATAATGACTTATTTCGAAATGCAAACTGGGTTTCGATTGTTCTTTTTTATAAAAGGACACTATTAAGCATGTGTCGTCGTCGGCAGGTAATTTCCATCGAATAAGATGTGCTCTTATCTATGGGACACAAACGTTCGGGGAAGTCCTGATGCTTCCAGGTGAAAAGATGGGTATAGGACTTGAAAATTTCTTTGTTAATACCTTGAATCGGAACGGAAGAGGGCAGAGGCCGGATGTACAAGTTCCGGTGCATGCCTTTGGCACCGGCAAATCTGAAGTTTCTCGTCTGAGTGGTGACTTTGATGTTTACTGTAATGGTCTACTGTATAGCCAATGGTATCATTACTATGCATTGAATGTTCCTGTCATGCCAGCAACCACTGTATCGTCGCCTTCTCAGACACCAAAGCATGGTGCATGGGATGCCCTACGGTGGTTTGTTAGATGCAAACGAAACACTTTTTATCGTAAGGGAACGAATTTTTTTATCCCGAGATTACAATTCGCTCATCCTTTTGCACTCCAGTTACCAGCTGCGTATGGCATCGACAATATGACGAAGTCGAGAGGAACAGGCACTTACATCCCCAACATGGTACGATAGTCTCGACGAATGATCTACTTGTTTACTATTTAGATTACTGACCTAAACTGAAACCAAGATTGGTCGAACATTTTTGCAGGCACGTCAGTCTTATGGCGAGATGCAACCATGTACAAGTAAAAGAAATCACAAGCCGTCGAACTCACCAAAAGAAAACGACCCAATTGAAAATGGCCGTGGAAACGGCAGTCGCCATGATCTTGGCCTTTCAACAGAACAATTCCCTCCTCTTCCATCCACCAAAAGGACCGCAGCAGCTGGTCCATCTCGTCCTCCAGCGTTGAAGAGTCTGGTGCTCAAGAACGGTGGCTCTCAATGCTTATCAGCTATTAAATTTGGTTGTTACGAGGGTCCATTGCCAGCAGGAACGCATTCGTCACCACCCTCACTAAAAGATCCCAAGTTATGCATCCCCTCGGTTGAAAAGCAGAAACAAAAGGATCTTTGCGAGCGTAAAAGGTAAAACACGTTGCAGGAAATTCGAGGCAGCCGTCAGTTTTCATTTTCCCTTTGCTAAACTGCTATAACCATGTCCGTGTATGCTGCAGGGCTCCCGGAGAACCGTTCCAGCTGCAAGACAATGAAGACTTCCCTCCTCTACTACCTATGTGAACAAACGTTCACCGGAGGCTGCAACTGCGAGTCGATTGAAGGAACAATCAACGAATGAGAGTGCGCCAACCGTGGTGCCGTAATGTTGTAGACACAGTTTTGCTTAACTTTCTGTGTAATCTAGAGGGGGACAGAAACCAGTTATGATGGACTTTGTTTATCATAAATTAGTGTTGTATGGTGGCTTTAAACAATCACCAACTGATAATAACCCTTCCCTTTTCTAATCTGAAATACAGATTTTAGTTTGATCATCAGTTTTTTTGGATATTCCATGCAGCTAGGGATGAGGGATTACATGCATGATGCATAGTCATATGCATAACCTCATACATGGCTGTGTTTGACGTCTCCCATCCCATGCATGCCATTCATATGCACTTCATTTAAACTATAATTTAGTTTTTGAAAGTTTAAATTTCATCCTCAAATTATAACTTTTACTCTAAATTAGTTCCCAAATATTTTGAACATTCCAATTTTAAACTATACGTATATATTAATCAAGCTCATTGTTAATAAAATTGTTAGGCCAAATTATATTATTGGCACGAATTAAATTATTTTTAAATTATTTCAATGGTTAAAAGAATCTTTGTTATTCTTAGAAAATAAAAAAGTACAGGTTCGAGCACTAACAACTGTAAGGATGATTGAGCGTTTAATGTCAAATAATTGAGAGTATTTAAAACATATTAATTATAGATAAAAACAACCAATAGATTAATTATAAGTGGAAACAGTGAACTAAAAGGGGTATAAAATGTAATTAAACTAGAAAAAGTTAAAGGTCTCAAAATTTATTTGATTTTAAATTTAATAAGGTCTCAAAGAATAATTAAACCGAAAAAGTTAGAGTTTAAATCTAAAAGGACCTAAATGAGAATTGAACCAAAAAAGTTAGAGCTCCCAACATCATTGTAGCTCTGCATCTAATTGCTAGTAACTTATTAGTATTACTACCCGGTTGAAGATGTTCGCTTCCTCTGTGCACCCAATTTTGGTGCAGCCGGTTTAGTTCCTCTCCCTCTTCCGGCCGACAACGGCTTCACCTTGGTCGTCGGAGGGGGAGCTGCAATGGCTGCCCAGGGATCCTCCTCCTCTGCTCCACTTGGTTTAACTTTCAATGATTTCAAAGCAACTTTTGGAGGAGGAGCTATCGAACCCCACAAGTCATCGTCTTCGCCTTTCGCCGCCTTCGTTGTACTCTTTGGTCTCGAACTTACAGCTGAGAATTCAATGAAACACAAGAGATACAAACCAATATGTACGTATGTGTGTACATGTGTGCGCGCGTGTATAATGAGATTATCCGAATTCCATAAATGAATGCACAATGTTACCTTGAGGTTTAGGCTGTGAAACCGGTTGTGACACGGGACGCTTTTGAGCTGCCTGAATGTTTGCCAAAGATGGAAACGGCTTCAGCCATTCGGGTTCGATATCGTCCCATCCGTCTTTGTCACTGTCTTGTTCTTCATGAATTCCGTTCTCGATTTCTCCCCACCCATCGGTTGAAGCAGGGTACGGAGGTTGATAAGTGAAGTCCGGGCTAGTACTTACACGGGAGACTGGTGCTGTACTTGGAGTTCCGATTCCCCCTAAAGGTTGTCCATGAAAACCAACATTAGATATGGAATGATCGAATGAACATGCCACATATAATCATGTAGAGGTAGAATGATCATGAAAACCAAAAGCATGCCACATTAGAGATGGAATGATCGAACGAACACACCCGAGCTGGCTGCCGACGTTGCGGTGGCTACAGGTCGGGTAGAATAGGCAGCAGCACCCGGAGCTTGGTCCGAAGATTTACCTTTTAGAGTCAAGGAGCTCATGGCCCATCTGCAGTCATAATCCTAGTGATCAACACCATAACAACAGACTCGGGTTAAAAAAAGGGGCATAATCTTAGCCAACAATGCACTACATTCCGGTGAAACAACCCTCTTTCGGTAGGACAACACTCGATATGTCGTCCTATGATAAACACCGTCTACTTACTCCAATAAACCGATATTTCCCGGCATTCCTGCAATCCCTAAACTTCCGGCACCGGCAGTATCTTCAGCGTAACTCTATAAAGAACCACCGAGAAAATGCATCACTATAGAATAATATAACATAAAAAAGACGATATCGATAATTTCGTAAAGTTCACCTTCTCATTGGATTGCTTCAGTATCTGTAAAAATTGATCAACTGCTTGAAATACCTTCGACCTTACATCACTGTTTACAATACAAGAGAGTGCATTTTTCATTTACACTGACAGATTATAATACCGAAGGCAGAAATAAATAAACGGATCTGCAAAAACACGACCTGTCGGGATCTATGGTAAGCACGACAATATTTGGAAGAATCCGAGTTGCAATCTCATTCGTATCGTAATAAGAACTAGTGGCGCATAGAGCCATAACTCCTGTCACAATGTAGTTTCATATTAGTTTGAAGATGATACCTCGAAAGCATTTCCGAACCCGATAATACCAGAAATTAGCAACAAACATGTATACCTACCTGCTCCTCGGGCAGGAGAGAAAGTATCACGCAGTGCACGGACTGTAAATGCATTGATCAAAACTCTCTTCCGTGTCTGCAATTTTTGAGAAAGGGAGAACGCATTATAACAAGGGGTAGTTATCGGAATTTCAAACGGAAACGGAATGAGAGACATGAAAAGAAAGGATCATGCCACCAGTAAGTGTGACTATGAATCGTAATCAAGATACTCGAGGACTGTCCTCGAACCTACTAACCCCTTCATTTAGGTAGCTTGCAATGTTTCCCAGTAATATGGTAGTATTTGTTCTAATTGCAGGCTCTTCATCAACCTGTCATAAAAATTACATGAAAACTTAACTAGTAAATTAGTAATATCATATATGTACATATATATGTATAACCCGAAAAAGAGATTGCGAAATGCGAATCATACCTGTAACTTCGAAAGATACTTCAGTAGAGAGCCTGACAAGTTACGTTGTGAAAGCTGCAACGAAAAGTAAGACAAAGCAACTTAGCAAGGACTCAAATGACAAAAAATCTAATTAGAAATCGAAATAATTCAGGAGATAATATGGAAACATATGGGAATTAAAATCACAAGATCATGTGGAACTCAACCTTAGGAGCTAATAAGAGCATGGACTTGAGAGTTAATTCCCGAAGAAATGCAGATGTGTCCGCAAATCCAGCAGCAACATGGGAGTAAACCTAGTTGGAAAAATCGAAATGAACTGTCAAAGTTCGTTATAGTATCAGGAGTTCCAAAATTAAATAACTAGAATCTGTCCGAATGAGGGCAAAACATGAAAATCACTTTGCCCCGAGTTGCTCACTTGTTCATCGACAACTTGAGCTGATAAAGATTCTCCATATTGATCAATATGCTGTAACAGAGCAACTCGAATGGCTCGGTCATTGGAAGCGAAAAGTTTTATGATTGTGGGCAGTACCTGGAAGGATAAGCCTAGTCCAGTCAGCCAAGATTACACGAATAACCACAGATTGGAAACAGAAATGGAGTATGACCTTGAGGTTAAATTCTTCAGCTGACAACCAAGAACCGATCTTCAACAGTGCATTCAAAGCATGGGCAGCAGCCGAACCATATTCAAGGGCAGAGGTTAACAAGGGAAATATCTGCAAAGAAAATCACAATGATTAGTCTTCATTGACTTATCACACTTGAATTCCAAAATCTGCACCTTCTTCAACACAATTTGGCGAGGAAGCTGCTCTGCTAAATTAGGAAGCTTGCGAAAGAAGGTATCCTTCTCAACACTATCTTTCAAACTGAGAATCTCCATGAAATGTATCGTGTCCACTAACTTATTTTGGAAAAATTCTGACAACACAAGCGTTTTAGTATTCAGTATTTCCATGAGGGATAAACAAGACAGGAGAATGAACTTCAGAAATAAATAATTTCGATTAACTTAAATGCCAAATGAAAAGTACCCCAACCTAGAAATGACAGAATGAAGACATCACATCCATTAAAACAGTATAGACTAACTTAACAAGTATAGTAATCGACCAAAAAAGTGCATAAAAACCGAGAAATTACACGATTACTACGTTGCAAGAATAAAGAACAGTCTATGGCACTACAAAGAGATCGATAACTAGGTGTTGTTGGTCGCAGAATTAAAGACTAAATATCATGCTTATAAAGCTTAACTGGACTTGTGAGACCGTTGTCAAAACTACGATAGACTCAAAGCAAAGCGCACTCAACCACTCACCACTGTTGTCTATAAGCTTCGATGTATTCAACCTGCGAGAAGGCGTGGAGCTCAAGAGTCGCTGATAATCTAGAAGCAGAGACTGGGAGACAAGAACATAGTTGGATGAGTATGAGATGAAGATTGAAAGGAATCAAAATGAAAAAAACCCTACATGCTGCATGAATACTCATGAACAAAAACACTCATAGTAGACATTAATTCAAAGTATGTCGTGTGCATCTGGGCTTAACTGGCATATTGCACGAAAAATGTCATAACAAGAGCTACAAACCTTTGGAATAGAAGAAGTGTTCCGCAGCTCCTCGGTCTTTCCCAACCTCATGCCAGAGAAAATCTCATAAATAAGACATCCTATCAAATTAATAATAAAAATGTTCAGATTGCATAGAGAACTACATAGAAAAAGAAGAAAAGAAATAGGTAAATAAAACCCATGTCTGGAAACATCGTCCTTTCTAAATAAAAGATGATGAGGAAAATACACCCAAGATATGTGACAATATACATGCTAAAAAATTAGCACAAATCAACTGATCACCCAATGAACCACGCCCACCTAACTCATTATTACACCAATATATCAAAAGAAACAATACAAACTTACCCAAACCCCAAGAATCAATAGCCCATGGTGGAGCTTTTCTGATAGCAACCCAGTCAAACTTGGCCAGCTCCATTGGTTTGTATTGTGATCCAATAAGCCATTCATATTGCTGATTAGAACAAACAGAGGATTAATTACCTAAGGCAGTTTTTACAAATAAGAAAGCAAAGTGACCTTGAGAATCCATGGAAGGTATCAGAAAGAAAGAGGGAGAAGGATAGATCTACTAGAAAGGGTTTCATAGCATGGTATGGAAAAGAAAAAGAAAAAAAAAAACTTCTGATACAGAAAGGACATAACAAAAATATTTGCACAACCATGCAATAGTACATTTTGTTTATGAAAACTTGACGCTGAACGAAATTAGATAAGCTGCAATTGTCCTGAACTAATACATGAACACATTGCCAATGCCAAAATCTAATGACTAATATAGGAGTGAAAGTACTTAACGTCATATGGACAAAAGGTACGTCTATATGTTGCATCTCTAATGATACATTCGGAAAAACTTGGGTATTCTTTAAAAGGAATTTAGAATTCATTACATGAAAACTTAAGCAAATTTTAAGATTACAATAATATATATCTTATTGAGCTTCAAAAATAATTTAAACACTTTGCTCGCATCCACACAAGCTTACCAGCATTGGTCCTGTGGCAGTTCCATTAGCCCCGTCATGCTCAGATAAAACATCAAAAGCTTGTAGCTTCCAGTCCAAGGTATGTGTTACAACAACACTTTCCAGACAAACATTGCCATGAACCTGTACCATGCAAAGTTAGTCAAAAGTGTGATCTAGAAAGAGATAAGAATTGGATAAAAGAATCCAGCCTTATTGGCAGCTTCTGCAAATAAACTTTAGATAAATGACCTACATAGAAACAACAAACCCTAAAATTGAATAAGCAAATAATATTCGAACTTAGCACTGGAGGACTAAACAGAAAGACTTGCATATTCTTCTCATGCAAGCTGCGCAGGCATAGTTTTTGTAAATGCAACATGTTTCAAAATGATTCCATTCAACATCTTTCTATTGGTGTATGCATGAGTGTACTACATTTACAGCAAAAGGAAATCTCAAAGGAAAAAACTAATAATAGTAACAGGAACTATTGGTACATCTTAAACGGACCATTGGTTTGATAAATATGATGGGAAACTGAAAAACGCAAGCACTCAGTGAGGTTCTTGCATGCTAATGCTACATCAATGGAACCAAACTCAGTCTATTTCAAACATAGAGCAATTCAAGAAGAAAATCCTTTGATTACCTTGGGAAACAAGTTTCTGCGTGTATGAATGCATGGGTGACAGAAATAATGAATGGTTTGCACAAAGTACACTCTTCACTATATCTATTAATATAATAACTGAACTTTTTCAGGCTACCATGTCAGATAAATGCCAAATCTCTAGTCACAAATATGTCATATAGAATATTAGATAACTGAGCATTTTTCAACTGTCAATAATAATGATCTAAAATGGCAGCCCTAGGTTGAAATACTTACAAGTTTACAGTCATTATTTAAAAAGCTCACGGCTTTAGCTATTTGGTGCAGACCCCAGGCATAATACTCATCTCTACCAACAAAAGAAATCACAACCCAAAATTATGAAGGATTTAAACAACACATGATGACATCCAATTGGAAAAGAAAGTTTCAAATAAACTAAAATGTATACTACACATTCTCGTAATGGAAAAAAAAAAAGAGCAAACACAAGCAGGAGTTTCAGTAAGGTGGATATACCTTTGTGCACCTTCTAAACCCAGTTCCCTGATCTTCTCAGACAATGGTGTCGCGGGCTCAGTGACGATATAGATGGTAACTTTTGTACCAGAACCATCAAAAGTTTCAACCTCGGTACTATAAAGGAATGACAAGATATTCGGATGCCTCACCTGTAAGAAGATTAGAAATATCATCTCAAATGTCAGCAACTAGTCTAACACAACTTAGACTAAACATTCGATAGTTGTTTTTACTACAAGCTTTTCAATTGTGTAAAGCAAGAGAGAAAGGCAAAAAGGGTGTGTTTTATATTGAAAGGAAATGCAATTTTGATGAAATAACACCTTAAAAAATCTAATCTTGCTCGATCATAAGAAAATGCACGAAATGATTCTCATATGAAAACAAAAACATAATGACACTAAAAAGCAATGATGATTCTCAGATTTTAAGTTACTTCAGTTGATGAAATTTTGTTCAAATCGAGATGAATTATTCGAGTTTTTGTGTAAATTTAATTGCAAATATTTATAATGTTTTGATACCGAGTGATTCCAATTTAAACTGATTTCTATAATCATATATTATATACATATATATATTCATATAAGTTATAAAAGTGTGAGTCAAGTAAGTCGAGTCAGCTTTGTCAAATCAAAAAATTCGATTTTTTCGAGTCGAGTTGAGTGGAACTAAATAAAACAATCCGATTAGAAAGAGTAGATTACAGTTCGAAGACGCTTGACACCGTTCCGGCCAGCAGCTAAACGGCCATCCTGCTGATTATTTCCCGAGAGAGAAAATATAGACACTGGAGCCCCATCATCCTGAAGGGGAAAAAACGTTCAAGATCCATCCAATGTGATCAAAGATTGAATTTTTGATATGATAGTAAGCAGAAAACGGAGAATTCAGAAGAAAGAGTTGAAGAAAGTACCTTGGAAGTGCCGCGAAAGTGAGACCAAGAGGACCAAGCGGAAGTGTAAGGGTCTCCTACGTTGTAAGGTAGATCCTTGAGGGTAGCCCCAGATCCGCCTACTACTCCTTTCAAGAAATTTAACATCTGTTCTTCGTGAATTCTGAATCAGAGACGAAGATGATGAAGATTATGATGATGATCATTGATGGGTCCGGAGAGAAATGAGAGGAAGGAGAAGAATGATGTTACACTCGGATCTGCAAAATTTGTTTAAATTTCATTGGAGGGGTGATTTTGAGAAATTGATTTTAATGATATAAATTACAAATATTTTTTTTAACTTCTAATAGTGGTTAATTTTATCGAATAAATAAAAACAATCACTCAATGTTATACGAAGGGTTTACACAAAAATAAGTATAAATTAATCTAATATGATTTCTCTTAAAATCATTGAAATGTACAAATTAACCACTTGTTCCATCTTCCTCATGCTCCATGATGTTTTAGTATGGAGCTCCATCTCCATAGGTGTTTTTATTCGGTGTGCTCGGGATATCATTGGCTCAAGCTTCGTGACAGATCGTCCTATGCAGTGTTTTAGTTATGACTGTACTTATCTGGAATGTCTTTGTTAAGATTCGCCTGTTCTGATGGAGGATTGTGCATGAGGCTTTCTCGGTTGGTCGTCGATCGGTTAGCTCCTACTAGTTTAGATGATGGTCATTGTCGCTTTTGTAGGATGCTAGACGAGATAAAGTTGCATGCACTCCGTGGCTGCATTAACGTCTGTACTATCCTCTCTTTTGATGGAATTTCTATCGTGTTATTTATCTTCCGACGGCCTCATTTCGTCGGGATATCTTCATTCATGAGGGCCGCTCGTTGCCAGGATGGCGTCTCATTGTTAGCGATCACGTGTTGCAGTATGCTTACTCTGTTGCTTCTACAGATGCTTTGTTGGTTTCAAGTTCATCCTCATCCGACTTGTGGCGTAAACCTCCATGTGACGTGCTCAAGATTAATGTTGATGGAGCACTTGTTCATGCCGATCGAAACGGCTCTATTGGTGTCATTGTGTGTGATTCGACTGGACTGATACTTTTCGGACATGCTTTCATGATTCTGGATATGTGTGTAGCAAGCGAGGTGGAAGTTGTCGGGAGCGATGCAGCCATTGTTATTGCTCAGCTCCTCTCGCACGACCTTGATTTATCTAAAGTTACATACAAATAGAAATCATTGTGCATAAACATGATCAACACAAACATATAAATGTATATATCAATGATGATTTGTTGATAAATTATCATTATTACAACTTAATCTTGATCTATCTTCGATGAATGCATACGTCTATTAATATTTAGTCCAGGTTCAAAACAGGATAACCAAATAAACACAATACGAACAAGGAGAAGCCGCGTAAAAATCTAATCTTGAGGCTAATTTGAAGAATGTTGTCAAGTTTAAGGGCCAATATGTGTATTAAAAGCAAAAGAGGGGAGGTGACTGGCAAAAAGAGATAGGTTGAGGGGTGTTTTTGAAGTGTTGACTGTTGAGGATGAAAGCTAATATCCACCGTTGATGAGAAACTCGAAGGTCCAATTGTAGGGTACAAAACAATCCCTAGACTAGAACGAACCAGAGCAACATTAAAACGTTGACCTTCAAGCATTTTGACGACACAAAATCGAGACGAAGAGATCATTTACTGCCCAAAAAGAAAAGTTAGGGTTTTTATTCTGAAATCGAATTCGTCGGGAATTTTAAGGACATGGCTGGGGAAAACGCTTTGTTCAAGTTCCTTAAGCCTGGGCTTCGTCCACAGCCCGCCGACGTTCAAGCCGCCGCCATGTGGGGCGTCGCTGCCACTATGGGCGCTCTTTGGCTCATCCAGGTTTAATTCTTTTATTGCTATTATATCCATAGAAAGATTTATCTGATTGTTTATCATCAGATTTTCTCCCTTTTATTGTATTGATTACTGTTTTAGGATTTATTCTTGTGATCAGCTTATCTTGAAAATTAGACCTTGGAATATATCTTTGCTTATATTGAAGATAAGTAGTACAGATGTGATTAAAAGTTGTCAATTTCCCCCATATTGTGTTAAAATGAGAAATTAAGTTGAATACATGATGAAATGCTGCAAAAGGAATGAAAATCCATGGACCAATCCTGTCTATCCAACCCTAGGGATCCCTTCGGTATCGAGGGATCGCCGATCGGCCATTAGAATTAGATCAGGTGGAATACATTAGTGGCCGTCTGTTTGTTTTCAGACCTGGCAGTTAGGTTGGAGAAGAAAAATCGATCGAATCAATACATTTTGTAAGTACCCTTAGATGTTGTATTGGATTTGATTTAGATTTTGGATCGGTCTAACTTTATCGACTGCCTTCATTATGTTGTTCCTGCAAATGACAATATCTCAATCGATCACTCTTGATCGAATCAATACCTCCCCAATCCCCCCTTGAACAGTGACATAAATTTGAGTTCAATGCTTTGTACCTAGATATGGTTTAGTTTAAGGGGTTCATGATCGAACGTAGGTTGCTCTAAAGCACCCATGGAGAACAAATTCTCTTTTCATGCATTGGTTCAGAGCAGTTTAATGTTGTCGTATACTTTTGCCCGCCTTTGTTGTCCTCTCGATGCAACACCCTTGTTTCTCCTAAAGTGTCATATGTGATATTGTGGTTCCAACCAGAGGCTGATATGTTTGTTTAACATTAAACATCCGATCGACTAATATTCGAAGATTACATATGAATGGCTTACGTTTGCAACTGTTTGTTCTATAAAGGTTGTAGTTTGAGCTTCATTTGAGCATTCAGTCGATTAAGTGGAACTCATTGGAAGGAGACATTTGGTTGATTAACCAAGTGGACCCTTATATGTTACTGAACTTTCGGATATTAGCACTTCGTTGGAAGTGAAAATGGTGAACGGGATTTTTTCATTCGAAAAATCCGCTTCAATACAAGTGATAGAAAATAAAATCGAACTGTTTCGGCTCAAATCATGAGTTATGACAAAGCTAACGAGTGCTTTTTCTCCGATGGTGAGTTGCTCTATGAGGGGAAGAACTCGGCTTGCATAGTTGTGCCTGTCATTGAATCTTAATGAATCATTAGCCATTGTTCTAAAATCTGTCCCTTTCTTTTTCCCTTTGGCAGCCGTTTGATTGGTTGAAGAAGACCTTTCTGGAGAAACCGGAGTCCGGGTAGAAGCGTATGGAACTTCGAAATCGACTTGTTGCGAGGATGGGCGAATCAAGGAAGGAATAAAAGTAACAATAGTCTTGTGATTTTGTGGTTTGTTGAAGAAGACCCTTAACCTTCATGTTGAACCAAATTCATGCATTCATAGAGTTCTAGTTGAGGTTCCAATTGGAATCTAAATCTAAGTGAAAATGGATGGTTTTAATATGAGATATCTGAATAAATCAAAATCATTTTTAACTAGGAAAAAGGGTAAAGTATATATATGTATATATACGGTCCCGACTATAAGGTGATGTTTAAAAGTTACAAAATAATCATTCTTAGTACAAAATGTTACTTTATTTAGTCCATCAATTATTAAAAATTATAAAACTGTCATTCGACTATTCATTATGTTTCAAACACATTTTTTTTATTAAAAAATAATGATATTTTGAGTTGAATGTTAACATGTTGGTTATGATATGATAAAATTTGATCTTAGAATCTCAAACGATTATCATATATCAGTCATCCTGTTAATGTTTAACTCAGACGACTGTCAATTTTTTTAATAGAAAGTGACGAGTTTGGAACACAATGAATGGTCGAGTGATCATTTTATAATTTTTAATAGTTGAGAGTCTCAAAGTTGAAAGATCATTTTATAATTTTTAATAGCTTAGGGGATTAAGACGATTAAAATTATTGATATTGGGTTAAATTTTTTTGAATTGGTTATAAATATTGATTATACAATTTTTGAAAAGATTATATAATTATTTATGTATATGATAAAGTGAGTGTTAAATGATTTCATGTTTAAAGATAATTAATAAAGTGTTTATATAAATTTTTTGATCTCGAGATAATATTACAAATATCTATAAAAATAATTATAATAATATTTTTATATTATTTTTTAATTAAGTTCTTGTTATATATATATTTTTATATTATTTTTAATTAGGTTCTTGTTATATATATATATATATTTAGATCGGATCGAGTTGGATGTAAATTTTTATCTAAAAAATCAGGTCAAATTTCAAGATGAATGAAATTCTTCCAAACTCGAATCAGATCACTAAGGATACAAATGAAAAATTAACATTTTAAATTAAATTCAAATAAATAAATAAAATATGACTCAATCTATGTCACTATAAGCGTAATACATCTTTATTCAAACGGTGATATTTCGACAATTAATAGAACATAGGGTAAAATATGCTTTTAGTACTTAAGCTATCAATTTGGTTTGTTTTAGTATCTAAATTTTTAATTTTCAAAATCATACCTAACATTTAGTTTATATTTCATATTAGTATTATGTCGTTAAAAACTTAAACAAACAGACTCACTGGTTGTTGCGTCTACAGTTGGCCTTCACATTCATAGGTCGATGAAACTCAAACTTTATAGCTTGCACCTTTTTGACCCCTTTAACATAATTATTGCCTTTGTTTCATCAGAAAATGTCTCAATCTCCTCAAATTGACAATAGACTCTTTGACCTCTTCATCTCGATCTCTGTTGTCAATCGTCTGGTGTGCTTAAAACTGGACCATGTTAGTCTCATCATTCTCTTGTGGTCCACCGTTCGAATTGATTGTCTGTCCATCGAAATTATGCCCCATCAGTCAGTTCATTAAGTTTTTAACGGTGAGAGTACTAAAATGAAACAAAAACTAAACGTTATGTATGATTTTGAGAAAAAAATTTAGATAATAAAACGTGTTAAAACTGATAGTTTAAGTACTAAATATAAAATTTATCTTCAAAATAATTATTATGTCATTAATTAATTTTAGGGTAAATCACGAGTTTAACACCGAAACTATTATTTTTGACGCATTTTAGTACCTAAACTTTTAATTTTTTAAAACCATACTTAAAGTTTAGTTTTTGTTTCATTTTAGTATCTCAATTCAAAATTTAACATTACGTTTTTGAAAAAAATAAAAATTTAAGTACTAAAATGACCAAAATTAATAATGTAGGCACTAACGTATTAAAATTTTAACGATAAAAATATTAAAATGAAACAAAAATGAAATTGAGTTTTGAAAAAATTAAAAGTTAAAATGCGTAGTTTAACCTTCAACATGGATGGAATATGCCTATATTCCACAACCCACAGCCGCATGCATATATTACTCAGACTTTATATTTTTCTTACACCAACCACTAGAAAACTGCCACGTAATGGAATAGATCAGAAATCCAATCGAATCAGTTTTCATTCTACTACATAAACGGCACCTTTCTCTTCAAAGTTTCCCCTTTTATTCGTCAGGAAGAGAAGCCTTCTCCTCTGCACTCGACTAAAGGTCTCTTCTTTATATCTTCGTCTCTTATTTTACTTACTTCTCTCTCTCTCTTATTCTCAGTATGCTTTGTTTTTGTTTTGGTTTTGGTTTGGAAATCAAATTTCGATTCGACTGTAATTTGTTTTCTGATTTGTCATTTCAATCGCCGTTTCTTTATATAAATCTTGTTTTTATGAAATTATTGTAGATAGTAATGCCTTTTCTTTTTCTAGACAAAATACTGGTCTTCAAGGTGCTCAGATCTAGGTCTGTTTTCGTTATCTTCCCCCTTGTTGTTGCATGTTGAATCTATTGTGTGGGTTAGGCTGGTTTTGAATCCGATCTTTCTGGGTCGGGTTAATTTGGTTTTGTGAATTTTTTGTACAATTTCGGTTTGCTTTTTTCTGTTGCTTCCGGTCATATTCGAGTTCAATTGGCCGGGTTAGGATTTTAAACTATCACTCTTGTTCCGATTTAGTACCTAAACTTTTAATTTTTCCAAAACCATACCTAGTGATTACTTTTTGCTTCATTTTAGTATCCGCTGTTCAAAATTTAGTTACTAAAATGAAACAAAAAGTTAACAGGGGTACTAAAATAAAACAAAAAGTCAACGACGGTATTAAAATGAAACAAAAAGTGAATGTTAGGTATGGTTTTGAAAAAATTGAAAGTTTAGGTAAAATGGAACAAAAATGGTAGTTTAGGTCCTACATTTTGTTATAAAATCACGTTGGGTCGGGTTTGATTTTGGATTTTTGGGTTCGGGACAGTCTAATTATAGATGACTTTGTTATTTTGATTTTTAATGTTACTGAGGTAGATAACCTGAGTAAAGCAGAGTTTTGTTGTTCTGCGTAACTTTTAATTTAGAGCTTTGCGTTGACTTGAATATTAATCTCAATCAAATAGGGAAAATATGCTTTGGTGCATGCGAACCATGATTGTTAGGTGAAAAGGTATCTTATGAATCTGATTGTTAGGTGAAAAGGTATCTTGTGAATCTGAAAAAATTGAGTATTATAATTGATAGAAGTGAATATTTAAGAAGATGCTTTCACAATGTATGCAATTATCGAAGTGAATTTTACTTGATTTGTATTTGCACTTGTAACATGAAGTTGAATAATGGGGACATAGTAGAAATATTCAATTATTTTAGTTGGTCAGGTTTCATTATCAGTTTTAAAACCCAAAAACCGAAGGGGCTGAACGATTGTCGGAGAAAGGTGTGGTACTGCATCAGATATAAGCTCGTTCGTATTGTTGCAGTGTCTAGAGTGTTGCAACATAATAGGCATTGTAGCTAGTTTGCTTCGAGTATTGACTACTTGACTCCTCTTTGCAAGCTGTTATAAGACACAATTGAGGGTTCTTCTTCATCTTTAAATCGAACAAACCTTCCTCTTATGCATTAGTGCATCCCCGCCCATTCGCATTATGTTAAGATGAGTAGTACGACTTTAATGTTTAGCTGGAACTGACTTTGTATTTCCTTGTGCTACAGCTTTGTTATTCAGATGTTAATGAATTCAAGAAGCACTGTAGCATCCACAGTTTCCTGCAAATCGGGAAACAAGAACGATTTTCTCTTCTGGATTTTGGCTTGCTTGCTTCCAAGTTTCCTGGGAACCCTTGTTACATACGTTAACTTTCAGCTCTTTAAGGCCATTGTACGCAGTCCCTCTTCATCTATTCGTGTCTTGGAATATTTACAACTATAGCCTCAAAGCCTATTTGAAGCAATTTGCCCCATTCCTTTAAAAGCAACATGGTTTCCTCTCGCTTATCTAGTTTTAATGGGTCCTGCATGCATAAAGGCTTCCAGAATCAGTTCCTTTTTCCTAAGGGACAACCTGATACCCCAACCCCTGATCCTCTTGAGTTTGATTTCTCTGATGTCTTTGGACCTTCTCCAGTTCAGGGATCAATGGAAATAAGCACAGAGAATCATAAAAATTTGATTGTTGCGACTGAATCAAATGAACTGCTTTATGATGATCCGGCTGTCATCTGGAGCCGCTCCCACTCCTTGGTTGGCCCCTCATCTTATGTTAGCCAGTCATTGAATCTTAGCAAACTTACGTTACGTGAAATTGGGGATTCCTTGGAAATTGTAGAAGGAGTTAGGGATGAGGCTCAAAACGAGCTTGGGAAACCATTGATCGATGATGTTATTTCAGAGAATTCTCATGGTCACGTAGACAGTCATCCCTTGGAACAGCATCTTGTCGGACTCAAAGATTTTGAAGTTCTAAAGGTTGTTGGCCAAGGTGCATTTGGAAAAGTTTATCAAGTAAGGAGGACCGATACGTCAGACATATATGCAATGAAGGTCATGCGCAAGGATAAGATTATGGAGAGAAATCATGCTGAATACATGAAATCCGAGAGGAATATATTAACCAAAGTGGATCACCCCTTTGTTGTGCAGCTCAGATACTCATTCCAAGTAACAATATTCTAGTTGTATAATATTTTGATGTTTCTCTTTTCTTTGTTCCCCTATGGTATTCACATACTTAAATGGTGCCATGCTAGTAGAATAGGATGGCCTACTGTGTCGAATATTTCGGCATCCAATTTTTTTTACACTGATGATTAGTATTAATACCAATTTATTTGTTTATCATTTCCTGCAGACCAAATATAGGCTGTACCTTGTGCTCGACTTTGTTAATGGGGGGCACCTTTTCTTCCAGCTTTATCGCCAGGGCTTGTTCAGGTACGTCTTAGTAAGCTTGCTTTTTTTTTTTGTATTTGTCTTTATGATACAAGTTTTTGAAGGGGACCAACATTTTGCATTTCCTTCTCTAGGGAAGATTTGGCTCGCATATATACTGCAGAGATTGTATCAGCTGTTTCTCATCTCCATGAAAATGGCATAATGCACAGGGATCTCAAACCTGAAAATATTCTTCTGGACGCAGATGGACATGTAAGTGTGCAAAATGCTGTTCATGGGTGCAAAAGTTGTATTTCATGCTTATTCCAGAATTCCAGGTTTTCGAAGCTGAAAGTATGCTGAAAATATTTCTTGTCACCTGGTGGTTGGTTTTGTGGCTGTCACAACCTATATGATTGCATGATTGATCAACTGTGTGCATTGTTGGCTCATGTTAACATTGCATTGATTGATTTCTAAACTATTTTATGGTTGCCGGTGCTACCTGTATGATGCCAGGTTATGCTGACTGATTTTGGCCTAGCAAAGGAATTTGACGAAAATACAAGATCCAATTCCTTGTGTGGAACTTTAGAGTATATGTCACCTGAAATTGTTCTTGGCAAAGGCCACGACAAGGCTGCTGATTGGTGGAGTGTGGGAATTCTACTGTATGAAATGCTTACTGGGAAGGTTGGTATTTGTGACTCAAGATCTCGATCTGTTTTTATGTCGACTAAAAGTTCAGGGTGTTAGTGTCAGCGCTTCTCATCCATTGCTTTGTCATGCTAGCGTACTCTCATTTATTTTTTACCATTTTGCAGCCACCCTTTTGTGGTGGAAACAGACAGAAGATCCAGGATAAAATCATAAAGGAAAAGATAAAGCTGCCGGCATTTTTGTCGAGTGAAGCACACTCGATCCTCAAAGGGGTAAACTCACTTTCTTTCGGTTTGCATTTTCCTTGCCTTGATAACAAATCATACTCTAGGTTGGTTCTGCAAATAATGAAATTTAATGGAATTCTGTTATTTCCTTCAGCTGCTGCAGAAAGAAGCAAGCAAGCGTCTCGGCAGTGGACAAGGTGGTAGCAATGAGATCAAACGACACAAGTGGTTCAAGTCCATCAACTGGAAGAAACTAGAAGCTAGAGAGATAAGGCCAAGTTTTCTCCCTGAAGTTGCAGGGAACCAATGTGTTGCAAATTTCGAGGAGTGCTGGACTAACATGCCAGTTCATGACTCTCCGGTTGATAGCCCGACTTTCGGGGAGAATCCGTTTAAGGGGTTCACATATGTGAGGCCTGCGGCCTCATTTCTTAATAGAAATGCTTGAAATCGACTGCAGAGATTCCCGCTCGCCTAAGATGACTGTTACACCAGCAGCAGGCTTCCTATTCCATCTTTAAGTTTGATGTTTGTCGAAATTGTCAATTATGAACTTGTATGTTTTTGTCTGTTCTGTCTTGTTTCTCTAATGAAAACATTGCTATCTGCTCTTTTAAACATGTTTGTTTAGAAGACACCTCGGGGTGTAAATGAACCGAGTTTGCTTGAATAAAGTTGTATTTGCTTTTATTTATTTTTGAATGTGTTTGTGATCGGTTTGTGTTTATTTAAATTTTCAGTATCATGTTTGTGTTCGTTTATTTATTTTTGAAGGTGTTTGTGTTTAATGTTCATGAATATATTCATTTAACGTTTGTTAACATTTTTGTTTAATATTTGCGAACATGTTTATTTATTATTAGCTGACCTTATTTCCATATATAATGGGGTAAAGGGGAGGTAGGATAGTAGGTTGCCCTCAACGTCAGGTTGAGAGCAATTTCCGTAGGAGACCTCCAGCAATTAGAATTATGAATTGTCTACCATGGGACTCGATCCCACGAACATGTTTATTTATCGTTGGTTTAATGTTTAGTAGCAAAGCTCTGTTCTGTCAAAGAAAACTGGTGAAATTACACCACTAGTGCTTAAGTTCCTTACGCTTTGCAATTTTGAATTATAAAATTCATTTTGTGTTCAGTTTAATTTCTATGATCACCGATATCTAAAATGTGAAAAAATAAAAAGAATCAAGTAAATGAGTTTATAAACAAGTCTATTAACGAACTTGTGAATGAGTAAATAAATAAATTTGTTCGAGAAAATTAATCAACTGTACACACTTATATTCGTGCGTACGTTTATTAAATGAAAATAAAAGTTTTGTTCGAACTCATTTATTTACCTTAATAAACAGTTGGTCGAATGTTTTATTCATTTATATCCCCTAAAGAATTTCAACTACAAAACACAAGCATCCCTCAAACAAACACCTATTAGCATTAGCATAATCCGAAATTTCAAACAAAATTTGCAGCATTTTAATTTCATCTTTTCCATTTCTAAAACAGCTATCAAAACACTGTTAAAAGCTAGAGAAGAAACACTTGCGCTGAGAATTTGCTTTAAAAAAAAGACAACTCCATTGTTGTGTTTTATGGAAAATGCTGTCAAAACTTGCAGGCAGCAACCGCTGCTATCTTCTTCTTGAGTTCTACCTTGTCGGCACCCACAAACTTGTCCACTTGCCTTCCTTCTTTAATAAAAATGAATGTTGGCGTTGCACTTATCTCCCATGAATTACTGAATTCCTATATATATATATATATATATATATATGAAACAGTACCATATGAACTCTTCAATAATCATTTCCTGCAATATGTTTAAAAAGAGTACCCTTTTTTTAGCTTACCGCAAGTGCATCGACATCGACGGTTAGGAACACGAGGGAAGTATATTTATCCGCGAGTTCGCTGTAGACTGGTGATATTGATTTACAAGGAGCTGACCATGGTGCACTGAAATTCGCAACGAGCTGTACGAACGTATGAAGGCAATGAGGAACACGAAATGAAGGATACTCGATGTGTATAGAATGACAACAATGTGAAGGGGCTTACTGTCTTTCTGTCTCTGGTTGCCTCCGTTAGACTTTCCTCCCAGCTCTGTATGGTTGTTATATGGTGAATGTTCTTGCTCACAGGTTCGGGACCCGGTGCCTTCTTTTGTTTACCCTTCTTGTTTCTTTTAGGACACTTGAAGAACAGCAAGAACTGTGCACCACAAGTGATTTAAGACAGATTATGGTATGTGAATATATATATATATACACAGACGCATTCGTATATATGCACTGTATTTTATCATCAACAATCATATGAAGCATGATCTAACAGTTTTAACAGCAATTAGATAAAGAAATATACAGGTGAGCACACTATTTGAAACAATGCCTTTATGAAATCAAAGGCATTCCTGTCACCTGCAGGCCCTTTGGCAACGGTTGCAGGGCACACTTGACAGGATCAATCCAATTGGGGAACTCGGGATTGTTTGAAATATATAACACGGTGCTTATGTTGTTAAACGGAAGGAATTATGTGTACGAGAAATGATCAGCAGCCATAGTTTCATAACATGTTATGAATCATGAATGAGCACACTGCACCAGAAGCTACACGAAAAGCATTGCTTTTCGGCATTGTACACGGTTGTTTTAAAAAGGACTAACCTTGCTCCAACACTGTCCCATTTTCCCAGCTGGCCCTTATCGACGAAGTTGCAGCAGGCCTCTACGGATACGATGAATATCAGTTCATATGACTCGAAAAGGAGGTAACGAATCCTGCATCTAAGAACATCATTCTTAATTTCAAAGATCAAAGATCCTTCAATCTCTGCATATATTTCTGCATAAAAAATTATGTGTTTCGGTTGTTCTACCTATCTCTTTTTCTCATAGGATACCAATGGAAATGGTAGCTGTTTATCCTTTTCATTTCAGGTCCATTCTCCAATGGTGGAAATTTAAGGATACCGATGGAACGAAATATGACCGAATCGACTAAATTTATCATTGTATGAAGAATCAATTGAAAAAGGAAGAAAAACATTTACCTTGGGGTCCTATTGGGATTTTGATGTCCTTTGGAATCAAACCATTTTGAATAAAACCATGTGATTACGACCATCCATGCCAAAAATAGAAAAGAGAGAGGAAAAAGGTCGAAGAAATTGAAGGTGGACGAAAACAACGATGATCATATGATGAGAACAGAGAATATAGGATTTTGAGATGATCATATGATCATATGATGAGAACAGAGAATATAGGATTTTGAGATGATCATATGAGTTTGTTAGTTATTATCGTTAGTTATATTTAAAATCCTTTATAACTAACTAACGAGCTAAATTTGGCATGATGTTACAAATATGTCCATTGGACATCAGATACATTGATGATAGCTTGCGAATCAAGGAACATGTATATTTCAGAAATGTATTTTCCGAGCAAAATGTAGAAACGGAATCTTATTGTCCCAATGGTTTTCTAGACAAGCAACCTTAAGGACTAGACAATTTAACATTTGATATTCGAAAGAGAACAGTTTTTTCCCCGCTGCAAATCATGGTGTTTGGATGTTCGATTCGGCCTCCGGGGATGTCCGGATCTTGGATTCTGATTGTCGAACGTCTTCAATCATTCTAACTGTTTCATCTATCGTTGGACGCATATAGGGTGTTTTCACCACGCATGCTAGTCCAATCTGAAGCATCTGCACCATTTCTTCTTGGAAAGTTTGGTATCTCAGAAGCTTCACGTCGAAGACTTCGGCAGTCCATTCCTCCCTCACGACGGAACAGACCCATCTCCGAAGATCGACCACGTCATCATGCCCTGATTGCTGGAGGGTAGCTTTTTCTGTCAACATTTCGAGGAGGAGCACACCGAAGCTGTAGACATCGGATTTTTAGTTATCTTGCGTGTTTCAATCACCTCTGGAGCACGGTATCCGACAATGTGAGACATGGTCGTAGAAGCGTTGATTAGGGGGGCCAAGCCAACATTGGAAACACAAGCCTTGAGTTCATCAGTGAGAAGGACATTTGAGGACTTGATGTTGCCATGGGTGAATTTACCGCCACCCTCCGTATGAATGTTTGCAATCCCTCCAGCAGTCCCGGCGGCAATCTTCATTCTCGATTCCAAGTCCAATGGTGTCCTTCCGGAATTCCTATTTCCTACCATTGTTGGACACAGATAAATAAGCCTAAAAATGTAAACAAATTCACATACCAATATGATGTTAATAGGTTCAATATGATGTTAATGGAGATTCGAGAATGATGTTGGAGATAAGCATACCGTGCAAAAGTGCAAACAAGCTACCGGCAGGCATGAAATTGTAAATCAACAGCTTCTCATCCTTCGAATAGTAATAAGCACGAAGCGGTACGACGTTCGGATGTCGCCCGACCCTCTCGACGAGTTCCATTTGCTGCTCAAACTCCTTTTTACCAGCTACAACTTCCTTCAATCTTTTCACCACCACTTGTGTCCCTTCCTCCAAAGCATCTTTATATGTGGTTCCGTAACTCCCCTTACCGAGAACTTCAGCCGAAGCCTTCAACAAGTCCTTGAGATCGAAGTTGTACGAGCATCCTTCGAAGAAGAACAATTTGTTCTTTTCGGCTTCTTGTACTCCGCTTCTGAAATCGATAGGCTTCTCATTCTTTCCAACTCCAGAGAATTTGCTCTTCAGCATTTCACTGCTCCCACTATCTTTCCTCTTCAAACAGCATATAAAGAGCAGTACAAGCAGTAGGAACACAAATGCTAAGCCGCCAACCACAATTGCAATGATAGAACCGGCACCGAGTTTGTTTTTCGATGTAGCATGTCGGTGGAGAAAACTATCGGCGGGCTCAAAAAGTACGACGGAGAAGGGAAAGGTGAAGAGGAGACTCTGGAGCAAGGCTTTAGAGGCGAACCGCATAACAACGGATTCCCGATCAATGCAGAAGGGAATCTTGTGAGTGAACTTGGAACGGAGCCACTCAAGTTATTATAGCTGAAATTCAAAACTTTGAGCCTCGGGAGATCGAGATTCGGGATGGATCCCGATATTGAGTTGTAGGAAAAATCAGCAACTTTCAAGCTCGAGGAAAGTGACGTGGGGAACAAGACACCGGGCAAGTTGTTGTGTTGGAGGAACAGAAGCTGAAGTGAAGAAATGGAAAGGATATCAGAAGGAAGGCTTCCATCGATGCCGTTCGACCGAAGGCTGAGGACCCTCGGAGCATTAAGCTTGCCGATAGTATTGGCTGGTATGGTGCCATAAAGTCCTATACCAGGAAGCCGAATGGCAATCACACTGGTCCCATTCGTATCACAAGTTACACCAACCCAAGCCATGGAAACCAGGGTCATAGCATTCCAGTTCAGTTTCCGAACATGTCGAACCGCACCGGCGAACCCAAGGAGAGCTCGCCTGTCGGAATTCAGATCAGCCACAACACGAAGAAACTTATGCAGAGACAATAACACAAGCAAAAGGAAAGCAACCAAGTGATGGAACTTCATCAAATTTTCGAGTATAATCTCTGCTACTTCTCCTCCTGGTTTCACCTACAGAACACGATGCAACATAGTTTGATCAGAGCAGGCTCATGGTCTAATGCAAGCATCACTTCAACTTAAAGGTGTTCAAAAGCAAAATTCTCAAGAAAGAACAATTAAGTTGGGCCAAATTAAAAGCATCTACAGGTTAAAAAGATGTAAAAAACAATGGGGTCTTCCAAATTTTCAAAAGCAAATTGGTAGGGAAGAAGAATCCAAGGGAGCAAAAGCAAGATCATAAAGAAAAAATGCAGAAATTGCAAGCTTTTTTCTTTGTTACACTGCATTGAAATAAAGCAACCCTCTTTAGCTCTTAGGCAATATAGTTGTCACCTACTTATGCAGTAGCTCTCATTATGTTAATGCTATATATATATATATATAATTTCATGGACTATATAGGGAGTAAATTTCTGCTGGGGGGCACAAGTGAAATAAAAACTGGGACAAGCAAGCTTACCAGTGGGAATAAAACATTAGCTTTATAATAATCAACAATGCTTTTAGCTGTTTGATGAGCCAATTCCTAATTTTTTGGTCCATCGGAACCTCCAACAATCGAAAATTATTATTTTTTTTGGTAAAAGGCATCAGGGTCCCTGTACTTTTAGAAAAAAACCAATGTCGTCCTATTATTTTTTTCTCAATGTGGCCCTTCAACTTAGAAAACAAACCCAATGTAACCCTTTGACCAACATTTTTCGTCGTTTACCGTTATAGTATTGGCATGTCATTTCATGATGCTGACGTGACAGTCCATGGTGCTAACATGACATTCCATTTGCCATGTTTAAGTTATCAATGTAGTCAATCTACGATTTCATCTATTACATTAATATGTCACTCTGGACTACCATGTTAGCACTGTAGATTGTCATATTAACATCGTAACGGCCAACGATAGAAATACGTTGGTCAAAGGGCCACATTAAGTTTATTTTCTAAGTTAGAGAGCCTCATTGAGAGAAAAAAATAATACGAGAGCTATATTGGGTTTTTTTTAAAAGTACAAAGACCTATAATACATTTTTGCCTTATTTTTCAAAATGTCTCGAGTTGTTTCTCTCAACTCTACAAAGGATCCGAAAAGTGTCTCAGACCCATTGAAGGGTCTGAAGAGTTGGAGGACTGAATTGGAAACTAGGAGGAACAATTTTGTCAATTTTCCAATCAGTCCTCCAAGTCTCCAATATCACCGATTCAATCCTCCAACTCTTCGGACCCTTCAATCGGAGAAGAATTTGGTGCTTAGCTAGCAGCTCTAAATCTAAGTTACCTGCGGTGTCGTTTTACTAAGCTTTTGAGATGATATCTTCCAGGTTGCTAGATGCAGTGGACTGGGCAGCAAACATGAACAATAAGAGGTCTTGAGTTGAGAATATATAGGGATTAAATATGAGAATAATCCTGTACATGATGCAAATGTATATCCATGAAAAGACATGGTATAACTTCGGTTTTAGTCCCTATAGCATCTGGGAATTTGAAATTTAATCCCTCCACTTCAGTTTCGCCATAATTTGTTACTTTTATAAAGTTATTGGTATGTCCAAACTGATAACACTGTTAGTTTTTACAGTTGATGTGATGATATGGTTTTTATTTTATTTTTCAGTTCTACAAACAGAGTCGCATGTTGAATAATAATACATTTACTTAAGAATCACTTTTGTCCGTAGTCAATCCAATTTTTCATTTTCGTCTCTCCGTAATTTTCACATCAATTTAGCCTTCAAAATTATTTAATTACATCATCCTATACCTTACACCGTATTGTTTAATTGCATCATCCTATGCCTTGCACCATAACTTAAACCCAAAACATTAACCCTTAAACTCTAAACAGTAACTTAAAACCCTCAACAACATCAAATATTTTAAGCATTGATGTAATTAAACAACTTTGAGAGTTAAATTGATGCGAAAATACTATAGGGACGAAAATGATAAATTGGATCTAATACAGGGAGAAAAGTGACCCTTAAGCCTAATAAGTTTATAAGTAAAATAACTCTAAGTTCCCTCTCAAATTTTAAATTGGCAAATTGGTCCCTCTCATAAAAGAGGAGCAATTAAGTCATTGTTAATTTTGAAAGCCAACAATAGAAGATAATTAATCAATATTTGCATTTTTTTTTGTCTTTAATTACATATTTTTAAAATTGAAGGACTGAATTGTTCCTGATGAACTGAAAACACAAAGGAGAGTTTATTATGATTAAGGCTTGGACCTTTGATTTAACTTTGGTAATCAACAACAAATGAGCCTAATAATTCAATAAGACCCTCCTTGCTTTCACGTGGTACAAGTCCTTTTACTATCTTTGTTTGTCTGATCGGTACTCGAAAATCCGACTCGATTAATATACGATCAAGTTTAATCCAATCCAATTTGATCATAAAAGGTTAATAACAAAACTTGCTTAACTCGAATTCAAAAATGGTTCTATGCAAGTAACCCGAAATGTTTCGAATAAAGAATCGAAACATTCCCGACTCGAAAAACCCACTTGGCAAATCCAAATGAGCTTGAACCCTAAACAACTTAAGCACAAATCGACCTAAACCACAAAACTCAAACAAGTTAGCCTACATTTACCTAATAAAACTCGATCTGATCATAAAAAGTCGACGACCCAAATCCGTAAGCTCAAACCCTAAAATACGCGACCTAGGAACGACCGAAACAAGTAACGGGAAATGTCTCGACTTAGGAAACCCGGCCGAAAACGCCTCGAGCTACCTGAGTTCTAGACAACAAAAACTCAAGATGATCCAAAAATTTTAAAACTCGAATCGATCTTACACGAAACCAACCCAACCTCTCCCACAGATCTAGAGTATAAGCGGGTGGCAAATTTTTGCAGCTGCCTTGCTCTAGGGGGAAGGTGGATGTGAACAAGAGGTCCTTGTGGCTAGGAGTCATTGTCTTATCCAAATGCCATTTACCTGTAAGAAACATTCAAATTTAAGACTGAGATTGACCCAAACATTGGGGCCAGTTGCAGAGGGTAGTTAAGCGTTAACACAACCAGATATTTAATAAACCGTGTTTATGTAACATCGAATACATCATTGGCCATAGGCTGTGCTGGTAGTGACTGAATTCGGAACAATTTATTGCTGATCGCTTTCGGTCTCTTTAGTAGGAAAATATCTGCATCCATAGGCTGTTTTGGTAGTGATAGACTCAACCAGTGGTTGCGCGCCGCCAGGCCTGGCCACAGCTCGATCCTAACGATTTTCATGTTCGGGTCCAAATTTGGTATGATTCGTACAACTGTGTTTTTATTGTTCATATATATTATGCAGAGTACTTTGAAGGTAAGGTTTATTTGTTTCAAGCACGGCCATTTATCTGCAATGCTTGAAATATTTGGTGACAACAGCCACCACTCACATACGGTATATCATGCCAGGTCGATCCTAGTCAATTCGATTTATCCAGCATTACCGAACCTTGAGAAAAACCTTCACTAAACTTCAGTAAACAAAAGAAGAAGAAAGTAGGGGCGAGAACAAAACCTAGCTAGCAATCATCGATCGGTGGCTTTTTCGAGCTTATCGGTTTCTTCCCTGTGCTTTCTTTCAGCCTCTTGAACTTCTCGTTTGGCCTCCTCCTCTTCCTCTATTTGGTCGAGATCATCGAATTCTTTGGTTGCTGCCATTGCTCTCACTACGGGATCTCTCAGCTCGGAAATTAATCCACCCCCAACCTTGTACTCGTCTTCATCGCCAGTCAAGAATAGCCGCTGATCAGTTCCCAATGCCGTGGGAATGTCTACTGCTAATAGTTTCATATCATACTGCGAGCAAAGATAACAAATGCTCATTCAAGAATAGCTAATGGTGTGTGTTTGGGTGCGCGTATAATAAAATACGTATTCGGCGATTCACACTCTTCAATCATCCAAGGGATATATAGATATAATTGAATATTTAAGGATGTGGAATGTTAAAACAGCTTGTGGTTTCGGTTTCGAACGCTGACTCCTAAGCTTAGGCTTGGAGTTCTTCAGCATAAGTCCGCCTCCAGACATCACATAAGCTCTGAAATCAGTTCCAGCAAGAGGTGCACCCATAACCTCAAGAATCCCAGCAGCTGTATTAAGCCTCCTCATCGCCATTCTATAAACTTTATCAGGATTTATCGTTAATCTTGACCGGATATACAATCCCTGAACATAACAAAACGAGTAAGATGGCATCATTCTCAAATAAAATGCCTCGCAAATCCATGCAAAGCAAGATATCCATGAATTCCAACACCAAACACGGGGAATTTCGAAGAAGGAACATTTACTTTTAGCAGAGTATAGCTATGCATTTTTGTGACATGAGAAGTTCATACTATTATTGCTGGTAACTCCAAAGTCCAAATGCAGTGTTATGTCATGAGAAGTTATAAAACTCTTCTTAAGAGTCATTTATTCAAACTTATCGAATTACAGTTCATACATACAAAGTTTATACCTCTTACCAGAAATCGCTATGGCCTGAACAATTTGGCATGCACGAATCCAATCAGGAAACACTAGCTAGCTATCCAATTCAGCAAGACTGACAAAACCATATATTCATGTAAGTAGGAAATCACATTCTAATTTCCTTTCCTAGTACCAGACTGATCCGTATTAACAGTAGCATTGTGTATACACATTCATTGAAGAATGTATGAGCAACTCACTCAGAATCAAACAAAACTCTCTCCCTCTCTATATATTAGGGAACAAACAAAACAACCCCTTCATATAAGTAGGAGGTCACATTCTAATTTTCGTTCCTAGCTCCAGACTGATTCGCCTTCATCGTAACATTTGTGTAGAAATGTACACATCATTATTATTGGTGTGACATATGACATATCATCACTTTGAATGACATGACATATGATATTTCATTATTTTAGGTGACGTGATACATGACACATTATCGCTTTGTTGACATAACATATGACATATAAACGATTAAACATATGTAGAAATGTCACATTATACATGTGTTGAGCATTAATCAATTATTATAATTTTCATCGAACATAAACTATTTTGATCAAAATTAAAACGTTAAAGATTAAAATATTTTTAAAAAATATAAAACCCAAATAAACATTTTAAAAACATTAAAAATCAATTTTATCATTATACTTGCCCAATATCAAATAAGCTTCATCACGAAATAATAATATTAAGGTCAATAAAATAGTGTTTACCTAACGCACATTCTTACACATATGCAGACCCAAATTCACATAAACTGGATTAAACATAAGAAAGATATAAAACAAAAAAAAATTATACTAAAAGCTTAAGGGTATAATTTTTTTTAAAAAAATATTAAAATTATTAATATAAAAGATAAAAAATATTTAGACTAAAGAAAAATTTAAAATATTACCAAGAGGATTAGTTCAAGTGGTAAACATCTTGATATAACTTAAGTAAGGGATCATGTTCGAGTCTTTGTGTATGCAAAAAATTTAAAAATTGACAGTATTATGAACTGAACGTTAACATGTTGATTGTGATATGATAAAATATAATCATAAAATCTCAAACGATTATCGTATTCAATTATCATGTTAACGTCATACTTAGACAACCATCAATTTTTTAACATAAAAGGAAGATTTTAGAACATAATGAATAAGCAGTTGACATTTTTATAATTTTTAATAGTCGATGGACTTAACAAAGTAACATTATATAATTTAAAGAATATTTTATAACTTTTAATAGTTGAGTGGCTTAATAAAGTAATATTATATAGTCGGAGGACCATTATATACTTTCCCCTTTATTTTATTGAAATTCAACATTAATTAATATTATTGATTTTTCTGAAGTTATTAGTTCCCATTCAATATCCATGGCTGCGTTGGACCAGGCCCGCGGATCTAGAAGGTTATCCCGAGGTGTCTTTTTCCCCTTAAAAAGTATTAATTCGGAAAATATCCTCAAACTATGAGAAAATTTTAAATTAGTTACTACATTTTAAAAAAATTCAATTGAATTCTTAAAATAAACTATCATTTTAGTTATATCTTTTATCAGTATGATAGTCAAATTTAACCTAAAGTATCAGTTTTTTAGTAGTTTGTGATGATCCTATCTTATTTAGAATTTTTTAATCAATTAATAATGTATCATTCTCTGCTGATGCAACCACTCGAACTCATAATCTCTAGGAAGAATATCCATAATTTTAATCACTGAAATAACTTAATAAATTCAACTTAAATATTGGTTTGAATTTAATATCAGTTTTAAAATATGTTTTGATGATAAAATATTTTCTTTCAATTGTCATGGTTTTACTTTTCAATTATTTCAGGAGATTATTTAAGTGGCGTTTGGTTCGCAGAAAATATAATTACCAAGGGGAATGATCTTTTCTGAAATTATATTTTTATGTTTGGTTCACGAGAAATATCATTACCAGGTAATAATTTATTATCAATGAGACAGATGAGCTAAATTGATAAATTAAAAATGTTAGATGGATTACCATATCAGCATCGTGAAGGTCAAACAACAAAAAACGTTGGTCAAAATGTCATATTAAGTTTGTTTTATGAGTTGAAGAGCCACATTGAGAGAAAAAATAATATGAGAGCCACATAGATTCTTTTTCAAAAGTACAGGGACCATTGATGTTTTTTTACCAAAGGAAAATTGCCTGGCCTGCCGCAGTAGAGAGGCGATTAGTCAACGCTGCTAAGGAATTGAATTTTGGAATATTTCTTCTCCCTTTTTCATTTCGATTCCCATTTTCCCCTAATTTCATATTCATTTCGATCCCAAATCCCAAATGCTTTGTTCCTTCCTTTATTTTGTTTTGGATTTTTTAAATAGTTAATTCTCTCTGCAAAGTTCGTGTTTTAGTTCGGCAATGGTGAAGGAGACCGAGTTCTACGACATCTTGGGTGTCAGCCCTTCTGCTACTGAGTCTGAAATAAAGAAAGCTTATTATATGAAGGTTTATCTGATTTCCCTCTTCTCTTCCGTTTCTAAAATCTGTTTGGATTTCAGTATTGTACGTGCTTTATGTTGATAGATCCCCTTTACTCATGGAATATCGATCAATTCATCTTACACTTGTTTACTGTACAATTTTCGAATTTCATAGTATTGGGAACTTTGAGGACTGGGATTCAAAGTCTGGGTTTGTTTGGTTAGTGCGTGTAAAGATTGGTACTGATTATAGTTTCTTGTATAATTAAAAGAAAGGGGAAAAATTCACTTTCTTTATTGTATGCAGGCAAGGCAGGTACATCCGGATAAAAACCCAAATGATCCTCAAGCAGCTGAGAAATTTCAGGCAAGTTGATTTTTTTTCTGAGGTCATTTGTGATTATTTGAGGTTAGCTTTAATTAAGACCACACCATCAAATCCTCAAAAGGACCTAAAAAAGGAAGATGAAAGTTGCTTAAAATTAAAGTTTATATAGGCAGCCTTGTGAACTTTGTAAGTGTTAAGGTGCAAACTGCTCTACTCTGTACATTTCAGGCTTTGGGAGAAGCTTACCAAGTACTGAGTGATCCGACACAACGACAAGCATATGATGCTCATGGGAAATCAGGAATCTCAACGTTAGTTTCCTACTACTACTCTATGAATATATCAATTTTCAAGTCTCTTGCCTGATTTCTAAAAATCGAAAAGAATACAATATTCCTCCATTCTATTTATTTGATGGTTTGTTTGTTTGCAGTGATGCAATTATTGAACCTGCAGCAATATTTGCAATGCTTTTCGGTAGTGAGCTTTTTGAGGAATATATAGGACAACTTGCTATGGCATCAATGGCCTCACTAGACCTTTTCACGGAAGGAGAGCAGTTTGATACTAAAAAGTTGCAGGAGAAAATGAGGGTAAAAGTTCTTATCATTGCATGTAGATGCTATAGGCACTAGGAATTTCAATTGTGACAGTGACTGACTAGTTCAGTAAACAATGAATTGTCTTTTGCCTCAGTTGTTATTCTCATATTGTCGAAGATGGAATTGAAATTGATTTTACTAATAGAAGGTAGTTTTAGAACTGACTCGCTGTACTTTCACCTGGATTAGGCTTGATAATCTCAGGGGATGCTTTATCAAAGAGAAATGGTTCAAATCTGACCCAGGACTACAATTGGATGTTATATGGGGGACGAATAATTGTTAGGAATAAGGTACAAAGTTTATGGAATTTTAGGCTTGACAATCAAACTATTAATAGAAGCATTACTTTGGTGAAACGAGCAGGATGGCCTTTTTAAGGGTGACAAAGGGTTCTCTGCTGCGTGTCACACCTCTGTTAACTAATTCATTGTAGTGCTATATATAGGCGTCAACTAATTTTGACTGTACAAGTTTTCCAAATCCACCCTAAGTTTTCAAGGTGACAGATATACACTCATTTAATGTCTTCTGTTTTTTATATACATTGGGATTGGGGGGTTGTGGTCCTAATTTATTTCGTGAAAAGATAAATAAGGTTTTGATATCTCAAGGGATCTAGGTAACGGCCCCCTTTGTTTTCTCCGTATATTCCAATTTTGAAAGAGAAAGGAAGGGGTAATAATATTTTATTATTACTTGTTCTTTATTCTTTATCAACTATAAATGAAAATAAGTGTCTTATTAAATAGCTAGGTTAAATTATAAGGGTCTATTCATATGACCTACCTAGGCCTCGCATTGTAGGTGATTTGAACATGGTCGATGGTAAATAAAACCTTGTTCAATCCTAATTCGAGGTTTGAGCACATAGTTTTTGTTTAATAATTCATGAAATATGGAGTTGATTGTTTGGTAATATTTTTGTGTGTTTTGATCTTAAGGGAGGTGCTACTAAATTTATGAGACGTCACTATAATCATTTCCTTACTTCCACCTTTTTGTTCTTGAGCTCCTTATGTGGTTTTCTGATATATTCTATATGATTTTAGTGTATATATAAGGTAGTGCATATCTTTTAGCAGGTTGGAACTAGGATCAAACTTTGGGAGGGGCCGGTTTGTTTAACTTCAAAAGAACAAGGGCCTATTAAGTGCTTAAACCCAAAAATTGAGGGGAGGGTTAATTTGATTAATATTTTATCTGATAGGGGATGAAACTGCCATTATACTTTTTTGGGGGGTTGGGGGCATGCCTACTTCCAACCTCTGTATAGTTCACTTCCTGTCTTTCAGTTATAAGAAATGATTCATTTATCTCTAACCCTTTTCATGCGAAGTTGAAAAACTTAAAGTAGATAAATTATTGTACAATGACGAAACTTTGGTTTGATCGAATTATTTAATTTTATGAAGGTGTCTATTCATTAATATTATCCTCTGGCCTTCATTCCTTTCTTCCTATAAAATTTCTTATTCTGACTATTGTAGCATCGGTTTGGCGGATAGTAAAATGAAATCTTTTAATGGGTGGTACAAATATTTACTGTTGCCTGCATCCTTTCAATTTATCAAAGCTATTGTAAGACATTTTTATGTAAAATGAAATCATTTTTTTTTTGTAAATCACTACAGGTTGTTCAGAAGGAAAGAGAAGAAAAGCTTGCACAGTTGTTGAAAGATCGACTAAATCAATACGTGCAAGGAAACAAAGAGGATTTTGTTCAGCATGCAAAAGCTGAAGTATCAAGGCTCTCGAGTGCAGGTACTATATCTTGTTCTCTAGAAATGGTGCATAAGGGTGATAGAAAATTGGAAGTCTTTTTTCGTCTTGAATGAATTACCACCGGTAATCATCTTCATGATTCTTTGGCACTCATGATTTGACAATCTGAAATATTGCATAAACTGCTGAAGTAGGTCGTTACAAAAACCAAATCGAAGACAAAATTGAATTGAACTGCTATATGCTTTTATAAAAGGGACCCTCTGACAACTAAGATAGTTGACACTTGCACCAGGTTCCTCCTTTTTTCTTTTTTCCCCTAATGGTAAATTGTAAAATCTGATGATTTAATCCGGCCCAGGATCTTTTCAGATTGCTGAATAGCTCTTGTATAGAAATACATTGTTTTTCTTGTATATCTATTTTCCGGCAATCTTAATTTAGGATAGATATATCTACTTTGTATTTGTTGTTCCTCGTCATCATTATTTTGGATTGTGATAGATTTTGTGGTGTATGTTTTACAGCTTATGGTGTTGATATGTTGAATACAATTGGCTACATCTATGTAAGACAAGCAGCAAAAGAACTTGGGAAGAAAGCGATATACTTGGGTGTTCCATTCGTTGCTGAGTGGTTTAGAAACAAAGGTCATTTTATTAAATCCCAAGTAACTGCTGCAACAGGTTAGTAAAAAGAAAGCGATATACTTGGGTGTTCCATTCGTTTGATTTCTACTGCTAACTTAAAGGGTGGATCATTCGTTCAATACTTAGCAAGGATAAATCAATTGTGCTGTTAGTGTTTCTTAGAAAGATCCTTTTAAGGAAGAATTGCTCCATTGAATTATTTTTCTTCCCATGTGGGTGTAGGTGCAATTGCTTTGCTTCAGCTGCAGGAGGACATGAAGAAGCAGCTGAGTGCTGAAGGAAATTACAGTGAGCAGGAGCTCGAGGAGTACATGCAATCTCACAAAAAGCTGATGATTGATTCCTTATGGAAACTTAATGTAGCCGACATAGAAGCTACTCTTTCTCATGTTTGCCAAATGGTTGTATCATCATTCTTTTATGGATGTTAGATGACAATGGTTTCAACTGTTGTATTTTTGTTGTAATCTATCAAACCTTTATTTTAGGTTATCCAAGATAGCAATTGCAAGAGGGAAGAGCTTCGAGCACGAGCAAAAGCATTGAAAACTCTTGGTAAAATCTTCCAGGTGTGTATGAGTGTTTTTCTAACATTTTTTTCCTGCTCTTATCGTTTCTTTAATTATTCTAAGCTTTCTTGGAAATGCTATGGTATGAATATAGAGGGTCAAGCCAGCAAATGGAAATGATAGTGATCCTGTCAGCAATGTGAGATTGGATGGAACTGAACCGAGTTGTAACGGCAATTCTCCAAATGCATCAGCAAAGCCCCCAATCAAGGACGAGTTGGCTCATTCTCCCTTCACATCCCAAGTATGGTTACTATGTAGCACTATTAACTTTTCATGACTAGCTGTTCAGTAACTGAGATATAGCTGTATGTATATGCATATTGTGATTTTGAAACAATTTGACATTGTAGAGCCCGTATGTGGAGGCCCCTAACTATGTTGATGTTCAGTTTCCAAGGCCAACAGCACCACCTGGTGCACAAAGACATGCTTGAAATAGAAGAGATTGAGACGCATGATTCATGGAAGTACGTGCTTCGTATTGTACAGCTATGATTTGTATCGATATTGTTGGTACTGCTGCTGCTGGGAAAAAGTTGTTTTTAGTGGTATATCATTTGTTCATGTGTATTGTGCTTCAAGTGGGGAAAAAATGTTTTTAGTGAGCATGTGTTTAATGCCTCCATGACAGATTAGGTTTCTATTATATCGTATAGAATACTATGTAGTTTTGTTTTCATTGTTATAGGCTGACTGAGATTGCCTACTTGGCTTCTTTAATGGCAATTGTTTTTGCATTTGTGTTTTGGTTTCACATGTATGCCAATGATGTATTGTTCCACATGGGTATATTATTTTTTAAAGAAGCAGCACGCCTTAATACTCATGTCTGGGTATACATCGAACTGATATCAGACCTACTACTTGGTGGATGTTGAAGAAAAGATAAAGATGCCAATTTTATTCATAGCTTGCCAAAACCAAAATCCAACCAATCAGGCTCCCATTTGAAGAACTGTAAGAGCTGACTAAATCTAAGCGGGCCGGATTTCTCGGGTATTTTCAAATGGTGAAGTGCTATTCTCTACCTACAAGGTGTGTTTTGAGTTGTACCAAAAGAAACAGAAGTGCTATCATAATACCAGAAAATCAATCATGAAATTGAGATTGATTCTTATACTAAAATCAAACTGAAAAGCAAGGCTCTTGTTACTCACTTTCAAGCTCTGTTTCCTCAATTCTTGTTCTATATGCCATTTTACCTTTCATTGCGTTTGCCAACTCTTGTATTGAGCAAGAAGTTCTTCGTGCCATCTTATTCGCGAGTACCTCGACATTTTCCGATAATCCAAACCCAAACAACAGATTCCCCAACATCTCAACAGTTGAAGAATATGGTGGTATACCCTCATCAATAATCATCTCAAAATATTTGCATGCCTCATCTAATTAACCTCTCTATTACATAAACCATGAACCATGACAGCATAAGTCAAGTCTGAAGGATAAAATCCTCTATCTGCCATACTCTCCCACAACTCGGTTGCTCGATCAAATCTTCCTACCTACACGAACGAGCAACTTAAGTGACATATTGTAAGTGACTCGATCCGGTAAACAATCATTTTTCTGCATTTTGGCGATCAATCTAAGAGCCCTGTTAACCTCAGAATGTTCACAATGATAAGCCAGGATGGTGTTGTAACTCCATGTATCCGGATTAATTCTCCTCTCGATCATCTCAGTCAAAAGCTGGTAAGCCTCATCAATTTTATCGATCCTGCAAAGCCTTTTGACCATGCAATTGTAAGTGAACAAATTTGGTATAAGATTGTATAGTTTCATTCGATCGAGCACTCGGAATGCTGTATGAATATCATCGGCCTTACAATATGCACGGATTAAAACGGAGTAACTACCAGCATCCAGCTCGATCCCACCCGATCCCATTTCTCCCAACATATTATAAGCTTCATCCACGCAACACCAGTTGCACAGGGCTTCCAACAAGCTATTATAAGCAAGAACATCAATGGAACAGCCTCGTTGGACCATTTCGTCGAACACCTTACGTGCCTTGCCAGCTTCACCGATATCACCCCATTCCCTCACCAAAATGCTGTAACTTTTCACACCAGGCTCAAATTCATGCTTAAATCTATCAAAGAATCTTCGAGCTTGCTCCAAAAATTTCTTTTTACACAACAAAAACAAAAGCCGGTCAAAATCACGAACGCTAGGCCTGATCCCAAACTCCACCATTCTATCAAAAGCCCTGATAGCATCACCAGGCAAATCCTCTCTACAATAAGCTCTAAAAAGAAGCAAGAAAATTTCCGGTTTTATCTCGGATCGTTTGTTATCCCTAGTTTCGATCAAGAAATTCCGTAAGATAGCGAACTGCTTGCTGCTTCCTAGAACGTCAATCAAAATACTGTAGCTCAAATCACTGTGTCGAAAACCCGGGATCTTCTCAGCCCAGAGAAAGAAACTTTGGGCTGAAAACCCGAGGTTTTTGCAGCGTTTCAATACTTGCTCGACAAGCTGGGTGAAACGTGAGGTGAGAGAACGGTGTAAATCATGGTGAGGGCTCCTGTGGCCGCTTAGAACGCGAGTGATTTAGGTTCGGTACCTGAGGAGACGAAGGGGGTGATTGAGTGAGTGAAGAGAAGTGAAGGAAGGGTTTGTAGTTGGCGAATGAACGAAAGGTTTTGGGAAGTTATTCAATAGCCATTTGTCCAAGTGCCGGAGCATAGGTAGAAGCTAAAAATAAGTCCTTTAAACCTTTATTAGGGTCCGCATTCAATCGAGTATAATAAAAAAAATTGAAGTTATTTGATTTGACGAGTTGTATTTACAACTAGAAATTAACTTAGAATTTTTCGAGTCGAGTGGAGATTAAAAAATTTGAATTGCTTATTTAAGTGTCTATATTGATTTTATTATTATTATTATTATTATTATTATTATTATTTAAAGTATTATAGCTAGGATTTGTTCTAACAAAAGACCAAATTGTATAAAATGCAAAGTTAAGGGATAGATTAGAGAAGAGAATACATTTTTAGTAAAAAAATGAAAATTGAAGTTACATATGTATTCTATTGTGGTATATGAGCATGTGGTTCAAATTTGATAAAAATAGACATAAAATAAATGATTGATTAAAGAAAAAGAAATTATGAAAAATTGAGGAATAAATTGAAAAATAGATAGTTTGCTAAAAAAAGATGAATTGAAAGTGCATGTGTATTATGAGGTGGTTTAGGAATATGTGATTCAAATTTGATAAAATTTGATTTAAAATAAGGGAGGAATTGAAGGAATAATGAAGTCAAGGACTAAATCGTAAAACTATCAAAATATTTATTCAATTTTTTAGTTTTTTGAGTAACTTAAAATTTCAAATTGATTCAAACTCAAAAATCAAATTGACAATTTGAGTTGACTCGAATAACTCGAATTTGAAAAAGAAATTCAATTTTTTAAGTCGAGTTGAGTCGAGTCGAGTTTTGCTACTTCTACTTTCTATTCGAGTATATATATATATATGTATATGTTTATTATTTGATCCATGTACTTTATATATGGCTAAATTACACGTTTAGTATTCAAATTATCAATTTTTGTTTCTTTATGTACCTACTTTTTTTAACTTCTTGAAGTCATACTTAAAATTTAGTTTTTTGTTTCATTTTAATACCACATTCAAAATTTAACGTTAACTTTTATTTTTTTTAAAGTTTAGGTACTAAAATGGAGTAAATTTGATAGTTTGGGTACTAAACGTGTTAAGCTTTTAACATTGGGATACTAAAATGAAACTAAAATTAAACATTAGGCATGATTTTTTTAAATTAAAGTTTAGATACTAAAACAAACTAAAATTGATAGTTTAGGTACTAAATGCATAATTTACCCTTAAGTATGTTGTGCCCATCATTAATTAACCTTCATTTTATAAATTACTTTGCTGTGTAACCTTTGCGGGTTGAAAGTGTAATAAAAACTGTGTAAGAAATATTCTTAAATTGACATTCAAACATAATCACACAATAATAACACTGGGAATCATTACATTGAAACATAATCACACAATAATAACACTGGGAATCATTACATTGAAACATAATCACACAAATCCATTAATCACACACTAATAACACTCATAGATAAAGCTCACTCTAAGTTTTCCAATGCGAAATCCTTTGAATTCCTCTAAACCTTCCATTTTGAGCCAAACACATCTACAATCATCAACACCATTGAAGTTAATGTCAATGGATGCAAATAAGACAACACCATCTCAGCAATCAACCATAGCAATGGCTCTATAATTATCTGAACAACTTACGCTGCAGACATTTTAGACTCTACCCCACCGACATTCGAAGTGAGCAATATAGTTGCACGTAGACTCAGTACACTTGAGAATTTCTCTTCGGCAACGCTGACCGCAAAACGAGCAGCTAGGGTGGTCCTCAGCCTTCCTAAGAAACCGAACATCATGATGATGTCTGTGAAGATAACGAGGCAATGTGATCCCATCCTTGAGAAATGGAAATTCTCCAAGAATACAATCGGGATGAGCAGAAGTATCACAGATCGAACAACAATAATACCAGAGGCTCCGGTCTCTTTTTCCTTCACATATATCACAACGAAGATGCTTTGAATAATCATTATCATCGTGATAGGTGAGGTTTAGCTGATGTTCATCAATTTTGTGAACAACTGATTGTGGTAATGATAAGCATTTGAAATCCAAAGTAAAACTGCACTTTCCACATCTGAATGCACCTTCTTCACCTGGGTCAGCGCCACAACCATTGCATCGCTCCCTGCATTTGAAATCATAAAACAGCAAGTGCTCGTGTCCTTGAAATTCAATCACGTCAGGTACGTCAGCACACCTTAAGCAAACTTCTAAATATCCTTCGATTTCGTAGAAGAAACCGCTACAAGGTCGTTTGCACAAGTCACACCACATGAAGCTTGTGGAGTCGAGAGTGGCTGGAGATTGACGAAACCAATGATGCTTTACTCTTGGCAGCTCGGCACAGTTTTTGTGGAGATAGAAATGGCATTCTGATTCAGAACAATAATAAAACAGAGTTGAGACAGGTAGCATGCACCCATCACATCTTCTATCAGTTTCCTCCTCCATCTTGTCTGCTAACACCAAGCAATGACCTTCATGACTGAAATGTTCAATCTTTGTGGCTTCCCCATCTTCACTCACCTCAACAACGCGAGTGATGGAAGACTGCGTAGACTCAGCTGAACTTCCATAGAGCTCCTCGCATTGGCTTTCTCGCTCAACCACCTCGTAAAATCTGTCATCCTCCAAGGCACATTTCACGTGAACAATGTAATTGCAACCGGACTTCACACAAGAGTAACTCCCACGCTCTACTTTCACTTCTTTGAAACAAATCTTGCAGTCTTGCGTTGTAAATTCCTGTGTTTCAAGAAAATATTTGTGAAATAGGCAGTGATCATGTCGTGAAAATTTGATAATGCGTGGGAGTGAAGTGCAATCCTTATGGACCATGACGCAGCATGTCGAACATATATAAGAAATGTAGTGTCCCTTAGTGTCACATGCATCACAAAAGAATGGACTTCTTCTCCAAAATAATGTGAACGGGTGCTGATGACGGCTTTATCTTCAACAGTGGACTCGGCCAAGCATCAATATTGATGTTAAATTTGCAAAGAGAACAACAATAAAAGTATCCAGAATGTTGCTTTTGGCATAGCTTGCAAAAGGGATCATTCACATTAGACTCAAGAACAAGAGGGTGTATTTGATGGGAAGGGTGATGAATTTTAGTGGGTAACTCATCAAGGCATTTCTTATGGAAAACAAACGAGGACTGAAAACAAAAGTAAATAGCTCTATCAATGGTTGATGACACCAAAAGCAGTTGAATCTTTTGAATCCATCATGGGACTTGGAATGAAGGTCAATGGATGTGGGTGGAAGTCATGTTTGGACTCTTGGTTGACCTTACTACATAAAGAAGACAAATCAGCGCATTTGATGTCAAGGGAAAAGTAACAAACATTACATTCATAAAAGAATGTGTTGCGTTTCTCCTTGCATAATGCACAACCATATACCCGATTATCAGGACGTGGCCTTTCTCGAAGAAGAAACCAGAGTGCTGGGGATGGAGAGGGTGATTGAAAATTCTCTCGGGTGCGAGGGCACAGTTGTGATGAAGGTGATAATTGCAGGGTGACAACTAAAGCATGGATCTGAAATCACATCCACCACAAGCTGAGTAAGATTTCTGACCTTCATTGCTTTGATCTTCCACAAACACCAAGGGGTGCTCATGAAAGGTGCTTAATCTCTCTCTCTCTTCTCCTTCATCTCCTTGTGTTCTATGAGTAATGAATGAGATGGCAGTGAATGATGACTTCTTGTTCTAACAATAAATAGGAATTTCTTTAAAAAGTATTTAACATTAATCGATGGCATGAATGATGACTTCTTGTTCTAACAATAAATAGGAATTTCTTTAAAAAAAGTATTTTAACATTAATCTTGGCAAGTAAGGTACAAACAAGAGTGACTTGAATTGAAAGCTAAAGTATCCTAAAGATTCACTCTTCTCTTTGGTTAAAGCATTGTGCTTTGCTTATTTGCAAAGACAACCCTATCACAATTATATGATTTTAAAAAATAAATTAAAAGGTTATAATATATAAGTGAAAAATGACAAGATTAAGAGGAAGCTATCTTACCAAAATTTCTGGAAAATAAGGTATATATGCAAAAATAAAATAAAATAAATTGAAAGCTTGATATGTCTGAAAAATACTTTCTTTATTGAAGTATTGTGCTTTGCTAAAATGTAAGGATAAGATAATTAATCACTTTCACTGTTACTTTCAATTTTATTTTTGCTTTTGATATGATTGAAGATTTTAAAAGAAGAAGACTCTCATTTATTATTTTCAGAATTCATATAATATAATTTTTATATATAAATAATTATTATAAATATTTTAAAGAGTAACCGATAAAAAATAAGTAGGTCTGTAAACAAACACGAACGAGTATGTATTCAAAAAAATTTGGGCACCTATTTAAGAAATGTGATATAATTTGTGTATTTATTTTATAATTGATTTTTTTTAAGAAATCCGATAAAAAATTATAGTACAATTAACTTTTATATAGGGATAAATCGAGGGGGTGGGTGGGGGCATTCGCCCCCTGAAAAAGATAAAATTACTATATATTTAAAAAAAATTCTATGTATTTCTTATTTAAAATTTATTTCGCTACTTGAAATTTTGGTTCACCCTTTTAAGTTTAAGTTCGCCCACGCTAGCATACAATCATATGCCTGTCCCTGCTTTTATATATTTAGAGATATATACAATAATATTTTTTGGATCGAATCGGATCAAGTATAAGTTTTTTATCTAAAAAATTAAATCAAAATTTGAATCAAATAAAACTTTTCTAAGTTCAAATTATGTTCAACAAATAAAGAAATGTTATACTCGAAATCAAATAAACCAAGAATTTAACCCAACCAACTTATAACCATCTCTGCATAGAGTTTTTATATTTTTATAATTAAACTTTTTTAGATCTATTGTCAGCACATTGTGAGCAACTTGTAGGTTTAGTTTTTATTTTTTTTAATTTAATAATTTTAAATTATTCACTTTTATTGTCAAATTATTAATAGTAGAATTCTAAATTTTATAATATATAAAATAAAAATTAATCAAATTAAAATATATAATACTAATACTAGCCCTATATTTTGACCGAACAAAAAAATTTCTAACCTTAGAATGATTATATTCAGATGAATTTCATATTATGAGTTCAATTATATTCAGATGATTAGTTTAAATATATTTTATAATAATTAATTTTAATTATATTCAGATGACTAGTACTTCAAACAATAAATAGGAATTTCTTACAAAAAGCAATTAAAGAAAAGAATAAAGCATTTTAACATTAGTCCTAGCAAGTAAGGTGCAAACAAGAGTGACTTGAACTGAAAGATAACCTTGACACTTTGGTTAAAGCATCTTAAAAATTCACTCCTCTCTTTGGTTAAAGCATTATGCGTTGCTTATTTGCAAGACTAACGGATGAGTGCTTTGGTTAAAAATTCTAATTCGAGATCGGATTTGATTCTCGTCGAAATAACATAATTTGAGTCGGGCCTTTCCAACACTTGATTCTTTTTGTTCTAACGGCAATAGTTGTGGTTAGTCTAATCAGGTATTGGCTTTTGAAGAGTGACTTGGAAATATCAATTAGTAAAAAGAAAGGCAAGTTACAATGGGTTGGGCTTTGTAGACTGTAACCGACATGAATTCAGTGTGAAAATCCATTTCGATGATCAACGAAATTGAAACGAACCTACATCGAGACGATTTTAACGTTGCTATTTTTAATCTTAATATACACTTCCTTTATTTCAACTTCAATTCTTTAGTTTTCTACTTATTGTTTTTTTATTATTATTCACCTCACTCGCAACACCCCTTTTTACTTATTTTTGTTACAGTTTTTGGACAGAAATCGACACGAAATTGCATCAGAAATTTGTAAGCCCCTATGAGTCGACTCTCTTTCTCTTTACTATTCTCAATTTTATTTATTTTATTTTGAAGAGGATTTATTTTATTTTGACGAGTAAAACGACGCTTGTCAATAACCCTTTTTCTTTTGCTAGAACTCATAACACTCTAAAACAATTCAATGGCTTCTCCATAATTTTATACATATAAATTATAATTATAAATATCTTGAAGAGTAATTAACAGAAAATTTAGTAATAAATATAATCACAATAACATATAAGTGAAAGATCATAAGATTAAGAAGAAGCTATGTTGCAAAATTTCCTGAAAAATAAGGTATATATGGAAAAAAAATTGAAAGCTTTATATGTTAAAATATTTGAAAATATTTTATTTATTGAAGTATTGTGATTCGTTAAAATGTAAGGGTAAGGTAATTAATCACTTTTGTTTTTGCTTTTGATATGACTGAAGATTTTTAAAGAAGCAAACTCAAAACTTTATTTAAAATTTTGAAAAATAATAAAAGAGAGTACATTACTTTAATAAAGATTAAGTGACGTGATAATTTTAAAAAATTTATTTAAAATAAAAAAAATAAAATTATTTATTAAAAACCCAAAAAAATGAAAAACTTAAAAAAAACCTCAAAACTTTAAAAACTTCAATTTCAATCCTAAACTCACGTCAGCCGTCGTTGTTTGACCACTACTTGAACCTCAACCCTAAGACAAGTCAAACCCGACCATAAACGCCGCGTCTTTGACGAAGGAAACGATAAAATCACGATCTGAAAACCGTATCTCTGGTGAACTCAAACCCCTAAATTCGCGACACCCAAGCAATCGAACGAGTTATCCTAAAATTGATATGCTAACGTATCCTAATGTTCCTCTCTTTCTCTTCGGTTAAAGCATTGTGCTTTGGTTCTTTGCAAGAATAACCCTTTTCCTTTTGCTAGAACTCACAACACTTAAAAAAAAAAATTGAAAGCTTGATATGTCGGAAAAACACTTTCTTTATTGAAGTATCGTGCTTTGCTAAAATGTAAGGGTAAGGTAATTGTTTACTTTTATTTTTGATATGACTGAAGATTTTAAAGAAATATACTCTTTTTTATTATTTTTTAAAAATTTATAAATATATTTTTATATATAATATTTTAAAAATAAATAAATCTTTAAACGAACACGAACGATGATACAACCAATAAAATTGACCATATTTACAACTGAATTTGAATATTATGGTGTAATAGTCTTTTCAATGTTGATGGGCCCTACTTTTAGAATAGAAATCTCATGCCCCTATTCCTACCTCTTCATCTAATACATTGACAAGTGTTTGTCTTAATTAAAACCTTTTTACTTTTAATTTATTTTAATTGGCACTAATATAAATATTATATTATTAAAATTATTAATAAATATATTTTAATAATTATTTTTTTATTAAATTGGTACTAAAATATTATCTTAATATTAAAATATTAATTTTTTATATTAAATTGATACTAAAATATTAATATTAAATTATATATAAATAATATTATTTTGAATATTTATGTTTTGAAGTGAATTTCAAAAACACTTTATGAAAAATCAAATCGTAAGTTAATTTCCAGAAAATGTAAAAGAAATTCTATTGACCAGTAAAATAAGTTACATTGATTAATATGTTTTTCACGAATCAAACACCGAAAAATGAAATAAAAAATTAAAAAATCAATTACAGTGAGACAAACAAACCAGTAAACTTGAGTTTAAAATCAAATTAGAAATTTTAATATCAAGTAAAATAGATTACAAAAAATAATACCAATTCTTATTAGGCTTAATATATAAAATAGTTGATTAATTTTTTGATCAATTTAGAAGTTTAACGTTTTCAACGTTATCATTTAGATGCCTCAGTCGTAATAGACATTAAAAAATTCGATCGACCACTCAAAATACAACACATAACATGTTTATAAATTTTTATTTAAAACTATTATTATTTTTCAAAAAACCCCCAAAACATTTTTAAAATCTCAAAAAAAGTCCCAA